ATTTTTCTTATTTCACACTTCTAGGTTTAAATGCATGATTAGCTTACATGCATACTGTGTTCTATTACTGATATATCACCAATTCCGCCATTTCAGTAAATAGAGTTGTGGAGAGGAAAAAAACTTTTCTAGCATAAGGAAAGGTTTGTCATTTTTGTGTGGAAAGGGGTTTATTCTTACCTGTAAATCCATTTGTACAATTACACTTCTTATTATGAAAGCGGTCTAACACACACTTTCCACCATTTTGACATTGGTTGTCACATACTTCTTTCATACATGTCTCCCCTGTATAATATTCTGTGCAACTGAAAGGTAAAAAGAATAATTTTTATTCATGTAATGAACTACATTCACAGGTCCCCAGTACTTTGCTATATCCAAGTTTTACTCTGTATCTTTACTGATCTTTAGAACAGAAAATTCACTGTTTCTTAACTTTGCAAATGCTGAAAATTTAAAATGTTTTTTTTTTCACAACATTACTTTATCTCTTCTACATGTTTAGTACATATAGATCTCAGCTTTTTTAAAATTTGAAATCTACTTACATTTACAACCCCACAACCAATCTCATAACAACACCAACCCAAGAGCACCTGATTACAGTACCGTAATAATCTGAGAGCACCTCTAGTGATAACACCGCTCTGAGAGCACCTCTAATTACAATAGCTCTCCTCTAATAACAAAACCAATCTGAGAGCACCTCTGAATATAATCTAAGTGCACCTGATTACAACAAACTAAGTGCACCTGATTACAACAAACTAAGTGCACCTGATAACAGTACTAATCTGAGGGAACCTCTGATTACAATACCAATCTGAGAACACCTGATTATAATTTAATCTCAAGGCAACTATGATTACAATTTTCTGCGAGCACCCAATTATAGTACTAATCTGAGAGCACCTATGATTACAATATCAATCTGAGAGCACCTATGATTACAATATCAATCTGAGAGCACCTATGATTACAATATCAATCTGAGAGCACCTATGATTACAATATCAATCTGAGAGCACCTGATTACTGTACTAATCTGAGAGCACCTAATTACATTACTAATCTGAGAGCACCTGTTATTATTATTACAATAATTTGAAAGCACCTGATTATAGTACTTATCCGAGGGCACCTCTGATTACATTACCAAACTGATAGCACATATGATTATAATACCGATCTAAACAGTAGCAGTACTAGTCTTTGATTTTAATACCAATCTGAAAGCACTTTGAATTACAATACCAACCTGAGAGTCACTCTTATAGACACTAACAAGCTGAGAGTCACGATGATATAAATTACAATCTTTTGTATATATACCTGCAGGCAGTGTTTCCATTGCTATCTGTTGTACAGTTTCCTCCATTTTTACAATATTCTGAACACAGATTTTCACACCTTTTCCCAATGTAGCCCTCCTGACACCTGGAATAACAGACAAGGATTCTATTGATGAACAGTCTCTTTATTAATAAAAAATCAATTTTAGAATTAGAATTGAACAATAAATTAATAAAATAAGAACACATAATTACAAAGTGAGCATTAGTTCCAGTGGTGAGCTAAAGCTAATTGATTACAGTACTAAGCAGCTGAAGTTAGTGTCTTACCGACAGCCCACGTTTTTATTCTGGTCAACAAAACACTCTTTGTTTAGTTCACAGATGTGGTCTTTACACAAGTCATGTTCACAAAGTGGGCCAGTGAATCTTGGTGGACAGCTACAGTGAAATGTACAAATGACAAAGAGAAAGCAGTGCATCAACACAAGCAAGAAAACTAAAAATATGTCCATAGGACAAGAATGCCTTGCATAGGGTTCATTAGTAATATAATATGAAAATTTGTATTAGTGTAAGAAGTTTGATGGAAATTTTTTGACATGAAGTCTTTCAAGTCAAAGGATGGTGGGAAGTTCAAGGTGGGATATTGGAAGATTCTGACAAATTATATATCAGTGCATAGGTTAGCTAAAAATAACTTTGAAACTAAGCTAAATGCAATAAATTTAATGTGAGGTCAAGGACAAAAGAAGGTAAAGGAGATTTGATGCATTTCAGATGCATTAACCAAAATCTATCGGCAAATGAAGTTTAATATACAAGTGTCATCTGTTTCTGATAATTGAGCTAACCACAAATTTGAGAAAAGTGCAGTTAGGGTCAAAGGAAGGTCAAGGTATAAAAAAAAATTATGAATTTAAAAAGTTCATATCAATATGTATAGACATACTAAGTATGATAACCTTTTTTGCAGTTGAATTACTCTAATCAATATCTTGCATAGTTTCTTTGAATGAATGTTGATGAAGTTTAGTACCACTAATCATAATTTATCTTCATATGTATAAAGATTGATAAATGTATATAAAATAATTTCTTTGAACTTGTGCTATTCATGCCAAATATAACAGAAGGGTCCAGGACAGACATGACTACACTACATGCCCTGACCATATTCAGGCTGGGACATAAAAATGATTGTGAATCATTATCAAAAATAAAGCATAAAGAAAGTGCTAGTGATAGGTGTACAAGACATATTTGTTGAGGAAAATTAGAATGTTGTCAAAAAAGTACTATAGCATTTGATTTTTTTTAAATCTATAACAATTATCAGATTTATTGATGAACCATGTACATGTATAGTAGCTATCATGGTAGAGTGCAAAAGAAACCATATTAGTTTAAAAATATCAGAGACTTTTTTCCCAGAGATTAATCTGCAGACATTACTGACCCAATTATTGTTGGAACTAGCAGGAAAGCATGTCAACAAGCTTTTTACAAAAGCAATATGCAACAGACAAAAGTTTCCAGTTTTTATAATTATTTAAGCTTTTAAGCTTGAAAAAAAATGAGTATGTTTTTCATCATGAAAACTAACAGCAAATTAAAAAAATGGCAAGTGCAAATGATTTTTTTCACTGTTCTAAATATGGTTTAATGTTTTCTAGAATCAAGTCGTCAAATGATAGGTCCTCTTGTTTATCTTCACCTGACCTTTTTGATGATTTTGTACTCTTCTAAATCCGATGTTCTGCATACTTACACACACTGTTTAGTGGTTGGATTGCGATTCCCGTGGACGCAGTCCTTGTAGAAGACACACTCGCCCTGTTCTTCATTGTAATAGGAATCATCGTTACACACGCATGTAAACTTTGTGTCACTGGAGGTGGGCATGTTGACACACCAGCCACGCTTACAGGGCAAGGAGGCACAGTTATTCTCTAAAAATATTGTTGGCATATAAACAGTGATAATCATACCCAGGTAAATATTTTTTTATATTTTATAATCTATATACAATAATCAAAAGATTAACAGAAACAGAATTGAATGGAAATAAGAATTAAAAATAAGTTGGTAGTGCACATAGTAAACAAGGTTTTAAATTTTGTTTGCAATCTTGCCTTCATTTTCTTTGTAACAGACTTTACCTAAAAGAAATGTACTCACTGATTTGCTTCTGCTTGCTAGGATGTGTAACCACAATATCACCAACATATTTCAGGTTCTTAAACATGACTCTGTCTTTGACAAAGGAGTTGTTAAATTTGTGGATCAGTGTCACATTATGGCTTTTGTAAAACGTAACATACAGGAAATCTTCAAAAACATCAATCATATAAGGTGGGTCCATGGCAGTCTCTATCAAAACAAATGTCCAGTATTTAATTTTCTTCTTTATGTGTAAAATCATATTCATCTATATTTAAGAATGAAGCTTTTAAGTGATATTCAAATAATTCTGTCTACACACTGTTAAACTGTCGGACTACATGTCTGTCTTTTCCCTCCACATCAGCAGTTTCTATGGTCTGTTTTTTGGAATCTACCCAGTAAATCCGATTGTTAGGGTAATCTACAGTGATTCCATTGGGCCAGATCATGTTATCTTTAACAAGCACATTGCGACCACTGCCATCAAGGTTAGCACTCTCAATCTTTGGTGGATATCCACGATCAGTCCAGTAAATTTTCCTGTGGATGAAAAAAAAAATAATGGTTTTAATGGCTACATACCAAACCAGAAGTCTCTGTCGAGACTGAAGCTCTACTGGTTTGTACTTATAACAAATGAAGACAAAAGTAGCAGTTGGGACTTAAAACTTTACAACAGCAATAAATAAAATAATGATGCTTGATTGAGCTCTTTTTGTGGCAAGATACTGCAATAAGAATACAGCTGTAGGAGTAACTATTAATAAACTTTTAGAGTATTTACAGTTTTAGTAACCATGGCAACATCATTCCTCGAAATCGAAAATCGATAAAAAGAATTGTGTATCTTAGTGTAGTCTACTCGTGTGCCAAGTTATATTGAAATCAGACCAAAACTGTAGGAGGAGTAGCATTTTAGAGAAATTTCTATTTTTAGAAACAAAGGCAACACCGTTCATCAAAATCAAAAATCAATATATAGAATTATGTATCTTAGTGTAGTCTACTTGTGTGCCAAGTTATAATGAAATCCGACCAAAACTGTAGGAGGAGTAGCATATTGAAAGTATTTCATAGAAATTTCTATTTTTAGTAACTACGGCAACACCGTTCATTGAAATCTAAAATGGATATATAGTATTATGTATCTTAGTGTAGTCTACTTGTGTGCCAAGTTATATTGAAATCAGACCAAAACTGTAGGAGGGGTAGCATTTTGAAAGCATTTCACAGAAATTTCTATTTTTAGTAACAAAGTCAACACCGTTCATCGAAATCAAAAATCGATATACAGAATTATGTATCTTAGTGTAGTCTACTTGTGTGCTAAGTTATATTGAAATCAGACCAAAACTGTAGGAGGAGTAGCATTTTGAAAGTATTTCACAAAAATTTCTGTTTTTAGTAACCACGGCAACACCGTTCATCGAAATCAAAAATCGATATACAGAATTATGTATCTTAGTGTAGTTTACTTGTGTGCCAAGTTATAATGAAATCAGACCAAACTGTAGGAGGAGTAGCATTTTGAAAAATTGTTTACAGACAGACAGACAGACGGACGGACGCCGGACGCATTACTATCGCATAAGCTCTTCTGGTCTCTGACCAGTAGAGCTAAAAATCAGTTAAAATTGGTTAAATGGTTTGAGATGAGAAACTGAAAATGTTAGATACATGTATTTACAAATGAATGACGACTACAGATGTAAAACAGATACATATAGCAATAGGTCAGATCAGTGACTCGGGTGACCTAAAGACTGTGAAAAGGTTTATTTAATTGAATTTTAATTGACAGAATTCACACAAAACCTGCATTACAATATTATTACTATGACTGAAATACCCCAAATGTTTTTCTCCTTAATCAATAAAATTTACACAAAGAGATATAATGCAAAGTAAATCCTATGGAATGTTAGAGTTGTTTCCCTTACCCAAGTTCCGGATTGACAGCGATTGAATGTGGTTGGTTGAGATTGGAAACCACTGTTCTTTTCTTTCCTCCACTGTATGTTGCCATCTGTACTTTGTGTATCTGAGCATCTGTCCAGTAAATGTTCTTCCCCACCCAGTCCACAGCTAGACCTTGAGGCTCGGCCAGCTCAGAAATCACCTGACAAACAAGAAAGGTTAATGTTCTGTTTACTTAACATGGAGCTTATTTACCCTTAACACTGGAAATTTGGGAACAAGACTGGCAAGTGTACTGTGCACTACATTTCTGACTTGAATAAAGTTCAAATTATATCTATGTATATTATCATAAGAATGTTAGCTTTGAAAACTAAAGCAAGACCCTTCATTTGAAAAAAAAAAAATTGAATTCCCTTTACCCAAGAATACATGCTTTGTAGAAAGTTTGAATGATATTGGTCCAGTGGTTGTTGTGAAGAAGTCAAATATAAACCAGAAGTCTCTGTCGAGACTGTAGCTCTACTGGTTTGTACTTATAACAAAGGATGAGAAAAGAAGCCATTGTCATTAGACCAAAACTGTAGAAGGAGTAGCGTTTTAAAGGAATTTCACAGACATTTCTATTTTTAGTAACAATGGCAACATCATTCATCGAAATCAAAAACTGATGCACTATTTTAATATGTATATTAGTGTAGTCTACTTGTGTGCCAAGTAATATTGAAATAAGACCAAAACTGTAGACAAAAGTAGAAATAGTAGCGTTTAAAAGGAATTTCATAGAAAATTCTATTTTTAGTAACCATGGCAACACCGTTTATCGAAATCAAAAAACAATGCACTATTTTATGTATCTTAGTGTAGTCTACTTGTGTGCCAAGTTATATTGAAATCAGATTAAAACTGTAGGAGGAGTAGCGTTTTAAAGGAATTTCACAGAAAATTCTATTTTTAGTTACCACAGCAACACCATTCATTGAAATCAAAAACCGATTCATTATTTTATGCATCTTAGTATAATCTACTTGTTTGCCAAGTTACAGTGTATATTGAAATCAGATCAAAACTTGAGGAAAAGTAGCATTTTAAAGGAATTTCTCAGAAAATTCTATTTTTAGTAACCATGGCAACACCGTTCATCGAAATAAAAAACCGATGCACTATTTTCTGTATCTTAGTGTAGTCTACTTGTGTGCCAAGTTATATTGAAATAAGACAAAAACTGTAGAAGAAGTAGCGTTTTAAAGAATTTCACAGAAAATTCTATTTTTAGTTACCACGGCAACATCGTTCATCAAAATCAAAATCCGATGCACTATTTTATGTATCTTAGTGTAGTCTACTTGTGTGCCAAGTTATACTGAAATCAGACCAAAACTGTAGGAGGAGTAGCGTTTTGAAAAATTGTTTACAGACAGAAGGACAGACAGACGGACAGACAGACAGACAGACAGACGGACGGATGCCGGACGCATTACTATCGCATAAGCTCTTCTGGTCTCTGACCAGTAGAGCTAAAAAAGTTTACAGATGACAGAGAATAGAGGACACATGAGAAACAACACACAGATGCCCTACACTCTTCAATCAGAAAAGCTGATATGGCCTTCAACTCAGAAGAACTAAAACAAGACATTCTTCTGACCAAAAATACAAAACCAGTCAAGCTGATCAAATAACATAGTTGGGAAAATTTAAGCACCTCTTTCAAAACCCATCTCTTGATGAAAACTATAGAATTATTTTCAAGAAAAAAATTTCTGCACCAAATCAGGGCAGAGAGATAGTAGGATTTGGATATGTCATCCCCCCCTCCCCTGTTTATACTCTCTAACTAACAGATTACCTTTGTTGGAACTTGTCTTTTTCTTCTGGACGATTTATTTATTTCATAACGGTACAGAGTTGAGCGGTTTTGTGGACTGGTCTGTAGAGTGAAAAGGTTGAGTTCTCCATCAACCGTGGCATCTATGTCCATAGATATTATTTTTTCCTGAGAATGCTGTAAATGAACAAGAATTTCAAAATATTTATGATTATAAGTTTGAGAGAAGTATGATAAATGGATTAAAATATAGTAAAGATTATTTTTGTCGTTTCATATTCATTCAAATTCATATGTATTTTTACCTATGGATCTGTCTTTACTTTTCAAGTAAAGTTTCACAAAAACATATATCACATGATTGGAAATTTCAGCAATTATTTCTTTAAGCAGGTCATTTTGACAATTTAGTATTGTCATAAAAGATGTTAAATCTCCGGTGCCAAAATGAGCAGTTGGCAATATTCAATTTTAGCAAGCTTAACATTCTTGCTAATCATGTCAAAATTGAACCCCTGATTAGTTTTCTGCTTATATGATACAGTAAATCATTTAGTATGAACACATATATTGCCAACTCATGGATGTAGCAAAGTTATCTTTGATCCCCAGCTATATAAATTTAACGAATTCCTTATACAGATTTACCAAGCAATTTCATAGGTCCCACTGACTTCGTTTGGCAGAGTTTTACTGACTATAATTTTGGGGTTTAAAAGATATCTACAGTTTGTTGAATTTCATTGAGATTTTTTCAGAAGCTAGGAGCTTCTCTGTCATTAGAGGATTCTTGTTGAATTTCATTGAGATTTTTTCAGAAGCTAGGAGCTTCTCTGTCATTAGAGGATTCTACAGTGTATATGATTAAAAGATCACTGACCTCATTCACACTGAGTGGCTTTTCACCTCCTCCTTTCCCCACACCAGCTTTGATGATTTCAGATTCGTGTGCCAATAGAATGTCCGGCTTTGGCCCTGCAATTTAAGTTGCCAATTAAGAACTTACATTTGTGGAAGAGGCACCTTTGGTCATCATAACTATGGACTTGTCTGCTAAATACTCAGGAGCAGAGAAAAAGATTTTTAAAGAATAAATACAAATTCATTATATAATCAACAGAACCATCTCAGAACTAAGATGTTGCATACATGTATATAACTGTATTCATATTTTTACATTTGCACTGAAAGCAACATAGTCAAACATAAAAATTCTACACAAGTTCCATGTTGCTTATTCTATTTATAATCATCAGATCTGAGTTCTGCTCTACTTCTTACCCTTGGCGTAACATGTTGGAATGTTTGTCCCCATCAGATAACCTTTGGTGAAGTTGACCTCACAGGAACAGTTGGCTCTCTGTACGCTGTACTCCTTGACCACCTCACACTGTTGTGGACACACTCCCCAAGACTTACACTGGTCAAACTCTGAAAGCAAGACAAACAATGGGTTCAGGTTTCAGATTCACATGTACATACGAAAAAATATTTTTTGAGTAATGAAATATATTTTTAGCCTAAATTAAAATGTTATTTGAACTGCGAAAAAAAGGCATTTATGTTTACTGATTTACTATTACTTTAGCTTGTTAATGCTTATGCTGTAGGTGTTCCTCTTTGTCCTCAGTAAGGAAAATGCTAAGATATACTACACTTACCAACACATGAAAAGCCATCATCCTGTAGAGCAAAGCCCTTTTTACATGAGCATTTATATCTGTCTAGTGAGGGGTAGTAAGTACACAGATGTTGGCAATTGTTTGTAGAACAGTGCATCTCAGATCCTGTAAAACAAACAATAGGCTTTTTACATCAGTGCAAATGAGTTTTCAGATCATATATGTACATACCTGTCTGAAACATTCAAATTCATCATTACAGAGAAAAATAGGTGTACTTAGCATGATAGAATGTCAGACTTGTGACATGACCCGGCGAGTTTTCCTTTGAAGTCAAGCATACTGTAACTGCGATACAGAACACTTTTTGTGGGCGTTTCTTATGCAAATGAGCAGAAACTGTACTGTATCTTCAAAATATCAACGATACAGTACGGTTTATTTTTAGCAATGACGGAAAGCTGAATCTGTATACCGACACAAGAATCGTTCAATTCCCATGAAAGCACTGTTAGTATTTACTCAAAATTTGAGATGATTGAATTAAGAATAAAATTTTACAACGTAAAGTTATTAGTGTCGGGCTCAAAAATTTTAGATAGGAGGGAGGGGGACAATTCACAAATGATTACTTCCCCCCCCCCAAAAAAAATAAATAAAAGGAAACTCTTATATTTCGTGGGGGGTGGGGGGTGGGGGGGTTAGATTTATAACCAACCAAGACACTTTGTGGTGCTATCGTTACTTGTTGATAAATTAAAAAGCGTATGTAAACAAGTTTAGCAAAAATCATTAACGAAAGCTAAAAATAAACCAGAAGTCTCTGTCAAGACTGTAGCTCTACTGGTTTGTACTTATAAAAAGAATGAGAAAAGAAGCCATCGCCATCAGACAAAAACTGTAGAAGGAGTAGCGTTTCAAAGGAATTTCACAGACATTTCTATTTTTAGTAACAATGGCAACACTGTTCATCGAAATCAAAAACCGATGCACTATTTTACGTATCTTAGTGTAGTCCAATTGTGTGCCAAGTTATATTGAAATCAGACCAAAATTGTAGGAGGAGTAGCGTTTTAAAGGAATTTCACAGGAAATTCTATTTTTAGTAACCATGGCAACACCATTCATCGCAATCAAAATCCAATGCACTATTTTATGTATCATAGTGTAGTCTACTTGTGTGCATTGTAATACTGAAATCAGACCAAAACAGTAGAAGGAGTAGTGTTTTAAAGGAATTTCACAGAAAATTCTACTTTTAGTAACAATGGTAACACCGTTCATCGAAATCAAAAACAGATGCACTATTTTATGTATCTTAATGTAGTTTACTTGTGTGCCAAGTTATATTGAAATCAGACCAAAACTGTAGAAGGAGTAGCGTTTTAAAGGAATTTCTCAGAAAATTCTATTTTTAGTAACCAAGGCAACACCATTTGTCGAAACCGATGCACCATTTTATGTATCTTAGTGTAGTTTACTTGTGTGTCAAGTAATGTTGAAATCAGACCAAAACTGTAGAAGAAGTAGCGTTTTAAAGGAATTTCACAGAAAATTCTACTTTTAGTAACCATGGCAAAACAGTTCATTAAAATTGAAAACTGATGCACTATTTTATGAATCTTACTGTAGTCTACTAGTGTGCCAAGTTATACTGAAATCAGATCAAAACTGTAGGAGGAGTAGCATTTTGAATGATTTTCACAGAAATTTCTATTTTTAGTAACAATGGCAACACTGTTCATTGAAATCAAAAACCAAAATACAGAATTATGTACCTTTGTGTAGTCTATTTGTGTGCCAAGGTATACTGAAATCAGACCAAAACTGTAGGAGGATTAGCATTTTGAATGATTTTCACAGAAATTTCTATTTTTAGTAACCATGGCAACTTCGTTCATCGAAATCAAAATCCGATACACAGAATTATGTATCTTAGTGTAGTCTACTTGTGTGCCAAGTTATATTGAAATCAGACCAAAACTGTAGGAGGAGTAGCATTTTGAAAAATTGTTTACAGACAGACAGACAGACGGACAGACGGACGGACGCCGGACGCATTACTATCGCATAAGCTCTTCTGGTCTCTGACCAGTAGAGCTAAAAAAGAAACTCATAGGAGGGTTGAGTGGGAGGCACCATTGAGTGCTGGGATCCCCTTTGGTTACTTTACATTTTATTTAAAACATGAAGGTAAAATACTCCTCCTCTCCCCCCCCCCCCCTCCCCCCTGCTTTCCTTTCATCTGTTTACTTCAATTTTTTAATATTACGACAGGTGGAGGACATTGTCAGACATTTCTTTCAGAATACGTTTTCCCCAAAGTTTTTTTGTTTCAAAAACTTTCCCACATGATTCTTATATATTAAAATGTTTTGCATTAAATCGTAGCTTAAATTAACAACAACAAAAAATTCAGCAACAACTGAATAGAGAGGAAAAAAAAACCTGTCGCAATCAAATCTAATTTTTTTTTTTTTTGAAAACAAATTATATAATGCATCCCCTAGATAATATTTTTAAAATGATAAATACCTGCATGCACATCCACCTCTCTCGGCATTTCAGTTGCAAATGCTTAAAATGGGATAATAAATCAACTTTCTGCAAAATCATCTGATTGGTTGAGAGATATGTACCCAAATACGCATGTAAATTAGTGAGGTCATTAGAAAGGTCATGTCACAAGTCATTTAGAATACTCGTTTCCTATTGTATCAGAGAAACAGGGCGGGGCCCGGCTCGAGCTATCGCTCTCGCCTCAAGCCCCGCCCTGTATCTCCGATACAGTAGGAAACTCGTACTCTAAATATAACTTAATGCTTGGAAAAAATGAAAAATAAAACCTGTGGGAAAAATCGTTAAAATATCATTCAATGAAAACTACCGAATGCCAAGTAAGCACTCTATAGGACATTAACAACCATTGCATTTCCACTTGCACTATTGTTTGTTAAGCAGTAGCTATTATAATTAAAGGTAATAAATGTATAATAATTTTGAATGAAATGTAACCTATATAATAGAGGAATTGTATTATTGATTTACTTACTGCATAGAGCTGGGCTTTCATCATCATTTATAAAGCAGTCATTTTTCTTATCACAGACTTTTGACATGGGAATACACTCTGATGTGTTCTTGCACATGAACTCATTTAGAGAACATCTCTCAGTTTTACCTACAACAGACAATTAATTAAACACCTCTATTTTTCTCTGTTCATTGTCTAAGTAATACGTATTAATTTTTCATTTGGATAAGAAATATGGGAGCCTGGTATTTCATTACTTACACCTGCGTTCGTCTGAGCCATCTCCGCAGTTATCAATGCCGTCACAGCGCTGGTTGGCAAATATACAGATGTGGTTGTTACATTTAAATCGGTCCTCTCCACAGATAAATTTCTCTGAAAATAAACATCCCATCAGAGAAAGCAAAGAAACTACCGGTACAAGCTGGAAAAGTTTACACTCGTTATACACGTTTTTCCCCTTTTAACAATGAAAGTTATTTTAGTACTGGACTATAATTTGGTCAAACACATACCTTTTATTGACTAAATAATTTTTACTTGGTTACTCATTAAAGATATGCTACTTAATAGTTATTTTATATATTATATGAATATGAATAACATACTACAGTGATGTGTTTCTTCATCTGACCCATCAGAGCAATCATTTTCTCCGTCACACTGCCAGGAGTATGGCACACAAGCACCAGTACCACATTTAAAGCCCCCAGCACATTCTTCTAGTGAAAACAAATTCTTGATTAAGTCCACATGGATATTTTCAAATGTATTTATAGACCTATTCAGTTTTTTACTATTTCAGCAAACCTTGGGGGCAGTTAATTTCATCCTCTCCCGCGGGACAATCAATCTCACCATCACAGTGCCAGGACTTCTGTATACACAGACTGTTACAGGAAAATTCTGTGTCAGGATTACAGACATGGGCTGTAAACAGAAATACACATGAATATAAGGATAAATCAGATATCTATAACTAATTAGTTGCATAATGATAAATCTTATGTAACTTGTATACTAATAACCTACTTTGTTTACAACTCTTTATACTCATTAAAGTTGGATACTAGTAACATCCTATATTGATAATCCATTTTGTTTACAGTAATATACTGATAACCCACATTATTATTCTTCAGAATTATACAGTCAATCTGATTGGTTTAGAGCAGGTCACATGCAAGGAGACAATTTGGTGATGTCTCCCCCATCTGAAGGGTGACAACTGTATTGATTACTGATAACTTACTCACGTTACTGCTGTTTACTAATAAGTTACTCATGTTACAGCTGTTTACTGACAATTTACTCTTGTTAGAGCTACATGTATTTACTAATAACTAACTCATGTTAATGACTGTTTACTGATAACTTACTCATGAATGTTATAGCTATTTCCTGATAACTTACTCATGTTACGTCTATTTACTGATAACTATTAATATTAGGGCTGTTTACTGATAACTTACTCACATTACAGTTGTTTACTGATAACTTACTTATGTTACATCTGTTTACTGATAAGTTACTCATGTTACAGTTGTTTACTGATAACTTACTAATGTTACAGCTGTTCACTGATAACTTACTCATGTTACAGCTGTTTACTGATAACTTACTCACATTACAGCTGTTTACTGATCACATACTCATGTTACAGAAGTTTACTGATAACTTACTCATGTTACAGTTGACCTCATCACTGCTGTCCTCACAGTTGAACTCGCCATCACATCTGTACGACTTGTGTATACACCGTCTATTGGCACAACGGAACTCGGCCTCAGAACAGTTCCGATAGTCTTCTGAAACACATAAAACCAACAATACCCTGAATATTTTCTTTTTTACATCTTATGATATCCAACTGCTGTTAATACTGGTAATTCATTTACAAAGAGCTAGTTAGAACAGGCGTTATAAAGCCATTTGTTCAAAAGAATTTTTAAGTGAGCTTATCTGTCAATGTACTGCAAAAACCAACATTATTTATTTTTCTCTTATGTAAAGAGCAAAATATTCTTATAAAAATAACAAAAAGCTTAAATAAGTCTCTTAATGCTGAAATCTTCAAAAGGGATAACTTACAAGTCCTTGAAATAAAATTTTGGTGTGGCATTCTTCCTTAATAAAACCACAGAACAAAAATCTAACAAATATATGCCCTAAGTGTTCTGACACTCCAGGAGTTTTCATATTTAGCTGTTTAACAAAACAAATAAAGCAAAAATAAAAACATGTTGACCATAATCTTCACTGCTGAATTATTCTCAGTATTCTTGTACTTACCACCCTTACAGTACTTTTCATCTGAGCCATCATGACAGTCTTTGTCAAAATCACAGCGCCAGACTTTAGAGATACACTGTCCACTCTCACACTGCCACTGAGTCTCATTGTCACATTTCCTATCTGTAAACAAATTAACAAGTTAATAATCACAGTAATTAACTCAGCTATGAGGTAAATACATGTAGATCATTTTTCTTTTTTTTCTCTGAAAATTAATTTGAAAGACCTTAAAAGATTTTTTTAATTCAATTGAAGTCCTCATAAAACTTCAATTTTATGTTTTATAAAACATTGAAACCTTATTGTGCTACAATGCTGAAATATTTAAATGTTGATATATGGGATATATCTTAAATAACCTTAATTCTGCATTAAATGGAAATGCTTGCAAAAAAGATTCGATTACATGAAGTCTTGCTATTCTAACTGAGTTCTTTAGAAAATGAATGTTCCTTAACATATATATCACTCTGGGACATAACAAAAAATTTTGTAAGCTAGACACATATTGTTTAATACTTGGAATTCTACAGAGTCCCTTACCACAGATATCTGGACTCTCGTCAGATCCGTCAGGGCCACAATCGGCGTCTCCGTCACACTGCCATGACTCGGGGTAACAGCGTCCTGTCTCGTTACACTTCACAAAGCCAGCCTTACAGTTCTCCAGGGTACAGTTCGCCGCTTCATCCGAGCCATCGTGGCAGTCCTGGTCACCGTCACACCACCACACGTACGAGATACACTGACCATTGGCACATTTAAACATGTTAGAGTCACATTTCTGATTGGCTGAAACAGATAAGTCAAGGTAAGTCAAATTATCCATGGTTGCATGGGTAGGTTCCATAGACTTCAATATATTATGTTAACTTTGTGGAAGTTCTTGTCAGTGCCCATATAATCAAAAGTCACTTTTTATGAAATTTTGATGATGGAAAAGCTGATGATGAATAGTATGACACTTACTACACTTGATACTGTGCAGCTCAGGATTACAGCTTGGATTCTCACACAGATCGGGGCTGGGAATACACTTAGACTCATTCACACATTTAGTAAAACCAGGAAGACACGTGAAATTTCCTGAAACGGGGAATGTGGACGTCACCCAAAACCGTGCAAAATAGTCACAGATAAAATCATTATTTTCGCCAACACAGTTGGTAGATTAGTATTATATGTAATTGGATGACAAAACAGACAATACAATTTAAGGAGAAAAGTTATTCCATCATAAGAATTCAAACATCAACAGATGTCTGCAGGTTAAATAACAGAAGTTACAGAGAGTAGAGTGTATCAAACTTAATACAAATTACAGGTGTATTTGTGCCCCTAACTTACGGCAGACAAACGGGTTCTCGTCCCACCCATTGTCACACTGGGGGGTCCCATCACAGATCTCCACCGGATTGACACAGTCCTTAGCGTCCTTACTGCCATTGTGTGCACACTTAAACTCTCCAGGCACAGAACAAGGGTATTCATCTGTAAAAATTAAAATTTACCTCACATTACAATCATTTAACAATTTGTTAACATCCCTAGAAGTTTTTTCAATTCATCTGTGTAGAACCCTTGTGCAGTGAGCTGTTCCAATATGAAACATACAACAATGTACATGTATACTTCAATACCAGTAATTCAATATTGTAAACCAACTATTATTCGAGATTCATCAGTTTGAAATCAATCGGCAACAATTAATTTTCGCAACTGAGGGAGCATTCTCTACAAAGGGAAATAGTATTTGGTTCAATAAATATTTGCAATTTAAAGAAGGTCGAGAAACTCGCGAATATTTCTCGCACACGAATAAAAGTTGGTTTACAGTATCTAATCCTATACATAACCTTCTTTACAAATTTTTTTAAACAGGCATAAACATAACCAATAAAATGTCTTTCTTTATCAGTATGGTAATTAATGTTAGCAGCTATTGCAGGAAAAAAATATACAACCCCTTAAATGAGTTATGTATTTTTCTCAAATTGCTGCAATGTTAATTTCCATACTAATGTCCAAAGAAAACATTATACTGTTTAATATTTATTACAGGTTCTACAACAATTAGGAGCTGCCAGAACTTACCACAATCATGTGGCTCATCAGAACCATCCTCACAGTCATATACTCCATCACACTTCCACCAGAAAGGGATACACTTAGAACTCCTCTTACAGTAGAACTGGGAACTATAACATTTACAAAGTTGGAATTTCACATACTTCACTTTAAATGACTTGAAATCAAAAGCATTGTGAGAAGCGTTAATATACAGTGTTCATACTGACCTTGTACAGTTCATGATGCAGGATCGATTATCCTCGGCCAGGTAATGGTTCTCAGGGCAGGCGCAGACTTTGGTCAACCCCGACCTGCTGGGCTTCAGTAAACAAAGATGCTCACATCCTCCATTGTTATAACAGGGGTTAACTCCCTTGGCTGCAAAAAAAATTACATCACCATATATAACATTAAAATTCCTATACAGAGAGAAAGAATGATCCATTAATTAAAATTTTGCATTCAAGCTGATAGAAAACAAAAAGTTCAAACCTGTCTGTTTCATCTGATGAAACACATGGATTCCCATCGGTCGATGAATCACAGTGGCCACTGGTTTTCTCTCTTTCCCGGAAAATTTGTGAGCAGTCTCTATCTTCATCCTCTCCCAATCAGTCCAGAACAGGTGGTCCATAAAGGTGGTCATGTCAAACACATGGGGGACATTGGAATCAATGACCACATGTCGATTACTACCGTCAAGGTCTGCCATCGCAATGTAATCCAGGTTGGCGTCTGCCCAGAAGATTTTCTCCGTGACATAATCAATCGTGAGGGCGTTGGGCCAGGAGAGATCTCGGTGGATGATCCGCTTGACATTAGTGCCATCCATATGGGCAGAGGAAATGTGGGCTTCATTTCCCCAGTCAGTGTAGAACATCAGTCCTTTAGCAGGGAAAACTTCCAAGGCCCTAGGCTCCTTTAATAAAGGTTTTAATCAGAAATCAAGTAACATTTGAAAAAGAATATTAAAAGGGATATAGTCCCATCCTCTGAAGTAGGCAAGATAATATAATCCTAAGACTTGTGAAAATTATCATCCTTGTCTATTTGAGTAATTGTAAGTTTACAATAGGAAAATTTTCTTTGCCTCTTTATTTATCTTCAGAAACCTTAATATCAGACATTCTGGTAGCTTTATAACTTACACTATCTGTCATTTGAATTATAAAACCTGTACTTTCTTTATCAATAACCTTCTTTGATTAACAATGATAACAGTACCTGTAACTCTTTGTCAATAAGGACTTTTCTGTACCATCCATTGAGTCGGGACACCTCTATGGTATCCTTAGTTTTGTCACACCAGTAAATGTTCCTGCCGACCCAGTCCACAGCAATGCCATCAGGGTTCCTCAGGGTGGTATTATGTATCACCTGAAATAAACATGCACATTAACTCACTGACTCAGAGCCATATTAACAAGCGGAATCAAACATACTTTATACTAATTTATTAACATTAAAATGTTCTAGTAAATCACCATCATATTGAACATCAAGTAATTCTTATAAAATAATCACTAGCAAGATTTCTGGAAACATTTCCAAATAGCAACATACAATGTAGTTTCCACCAACATCTAATAATACTAAGTACATGTACATGTGTATGTGAATTTGACACCTACTTATATAAACTTAAGTTTAAACAAATGCATTATGCAGGTACACATTTATGGCCAATGTACATGTATTTGTCATGATATTGTACTCACAGTGACCTTCTGGTCAGTAATGTTCAGTCGACTGATTTTACTCATGGTGGCCGTGATTTCTGACCAGTATATCATCTGGTCTCGGTAGTCGAAGTCAATAGCCACAGCGTTATTCAGGTCATGTAGAATTAGTTTCTGGTAACCAGTAAAGCTGATGTTCCTGATGTAGAAACCATTAGCCAGAATCAAATAGGGCTTCTCAGCTACAAAATAACAAACACCAAGCTACTAAATAAGATACACCAAGCTACTAACTAAGATACACCAATACTACACTCTTAGTATGAGGTGATAAAAAAATAGAAAATAAGTAAGATGAGAGCTTACATCCAGTGACTTTGCAGGTCTTCCCATCCTCTGCTAGTTTGAATCCCTCTGCACACCGACAATGATAACTCCCAACAGAGTTTACACAGAAGTGTGAGCAGGGGTACAGAGTCTTACATTCATCCACATCTGACAAAAACATGAAAGAAAATCTCAATGTTTACATGTATGTAGGGAAATATTTCCCTTGAATCATTTTACATGATATTTACAGCTTCGTATATTTCAAAAAATTATGTTTGTAAATAATCTGAGCAATAATCATGCAATTATAAAACTATTCTCATCAACTTATGTATCACAACATATACATAAATATTCCTTGATTTGTAACAGGCCTACCTTTACAGTGATGTTGATTGTCCTCCAGCTCATAACCGGGATGACAGGTGCACCTGTACCCAATCTTCAGCTCCGTACAGTTATGGTGACAGATTTTGAAAAATGGGGAGGTAGCTTGTACACCGTCCCTCTTTGCTTCTTCCATAAATTTACATTCATCAAAATCTACAAGAAAAAAAGACATTAAAAATTTTAAACAACAAGAGGCCCCTGGGCCTTATAGGTCACCTGAGCATTATTCAACAACTTCCCAGTAACTGAATTTGATCCATGTTTTAAGCCAGATGCTATAGCATTTACAATTTGGTCATCATAACTATACACTTAGCAGTTCCTTAGTTTGGTTACTTTATACCCATAGGCAGGGTAGGGGAACAAAAAATGCATTTCAACTAATCAGTAATATTCAGCAAAAATCAGTAGTGCCGCTACCACACATGAACCCTTGACTCTTAGGCCTAGATCCACACATTGCACTATTTTTGGAAAGGCATACTTGCTTCTCAAAAATATTTGATTAATACCAAGGAGCACATTTCAAACAATTCATTCATTTTCAGTACATAAGTACAGCCTCCCCCCCCCCCCCCCACTATGGTACAACTGACCCTGGGGCCTTGAAATTTACAATTCTTGAAGATTAGGGATTGCTCATAACTATATAGGTAATTCACCTAGGAGAAAAGAAGAAAATATTCAAAGATTTAATGTTTTTTCACTATACATGTATAATCAATACAGCCCCGCCCTAACACCAGAATCCCTAACCCTGGGGCCATAAAATTCACAATTTTGGCAGAGGCACTTTTGCTCATCATAACTATGTACTTACTTATTTTATTTAATATCCAGGAGAAAAGAAGATTTTCAAAGAATTCATGTATTTCCTCTATATAATCAATAGAGCCCCACCCTGACACCAGAAACCCTGACCCTGGGGCCATAAAATTCACAATTTTGGTAGTGGCACTCTTGCTCATCATAACTATGTACTTAGTTAGTTTATATAAAACCTAGGAGCAGAGAAGAAGATTTTCAAAGAATTCATGTATTTTCACTATATAATCAATAGAGCCACACCCTAAAACCAGAACCCCTGACCCTGGGGCCATAAAATTCACAATTTTGGTAGAGGCACTCTTGCTCATCATAACTATATACTTAGTTAAATCATATAAAATCTAGGAGCAGAGAAGAAGATTTTCAAAGAATTCATGTATTTTCAATACATAATCAATAGAGCCCCACCCTGACACCAGAACCCCTGACCCTGGGGCCATAAAATTCACAATTTTGGTAGAGGCACACTTGCTCATCATAACTATGTACTTAGTTAGTTTATTTAATACCCAGGAGCAGAGAAGAAGATTTTCAAAGAAATAATGCATTTTCACTATATACTTATTTAGCCCCACCCTAGTACAAGAACCCCTGACCCCAGGGCCATGAATTTCACAATTTTGGTAAAGGACTCAATGCTGATTACAATCATGCAAACAGTTTGACTGCTTGATGTCCAGGAGTAAAGAAGAAGATTTTTGAAGATTGCATTAATTTTAGTGGTTTTGGCCCCACCCCCCAGGCCCCAGGGGGGCAGGGATCATGAAATTCACAATTTTTGTTCCCCTTCACCCATAGATGCTTTGTGCCAAATTTGGTTGAAATTGGTTCAGTGGTTGCAGAGAAGAAGCTGAAAATGTTCAAAAGTTTACGACCGATTGACGACGAACGACGAACGACGTACGACGAACGACGGACGACGACAGACAAAAACAGATAGCAATAGGTCACCTGAGTGACTCAGGTGACCTAAAAATGCCCCCCCCCCCCAAAAAAAGAAAGACTTCATCAAGAAGGAAGGCAATTAAATTTCAGAAGCAAATTGGTATACATACATGTACAATTGAATCACTACTAAGTGGCTAAACTTCATTTATTTAGATTTAAGGATCCTTCAATACACATCAGCCTATATATAAATTATCAAGTCACAAACAATGTGGACAAGTATCACTGCTACATCTATAAGTGTCTACTTACTGCAGGTTGGAGCTTCATCTGAGTTATCCCCACAATCATCTTGTCCATTACAAACAAGGGAATCATTCAGACATTTATCATTGTGACACCGGAAGTCACACTTGACCGGTTTCTGGGTACAGTTTGCGTTCTCGTCAGAATGGTCGTAACAGTCTGGAAATCCATTGCACACCAATGTCCTGTTGATACAGTTGTGATGTTGCTGGCATTGAAATTCACCCACGGCACATCCTTTGGCTATTAAGACAAATTTGACACAAAGTTCCTATTAATTGGTAGCCCAGTTGCTGGATAAATTTTTTTTATTAGTTTAACAGTATGATGTGTTACGAAACTCAGCAGAATCAAAACAGGTTTATATTCTGGAATATAATGTAATTCCTTGTGATAACTACTTCTAGCTCCATAGACAATGTTTAGGAATGGACATATTACTTACAACAGAATGGGGGCTCATCACTGTTATCTAGGCAGTCATTATCCGAGTCACAGTAAAATATCTTCTTCACACATTTCCCATTCTGACATTGAAACTCATCGTCACTGCAAGCCATTGGTTCTGTAAAACAAAAACAATCATTTATCACATTATAACAATCCAATTACATGTAACAGAAATTGTAATCATTAGTAACCAGCACAACAGTTTAAAAATCAAAAGCCTGAAAGGCTTCAATGGCGTTGAACAAGAGAAACAATTTCAAAAGATCTGAAGATAGGTCAAGTGAGTGACTCCAGTAACATAATAATAAAATAAAAAATAGTCTTAACACAAATACAGTGAGGGCCTTATGTCCTGGTCAGAATGAAGTAGGGTTCGAATTGACCAGACATTGTCAGAAATGTTCATGCTCAATATCAATCTAATTTCTTTTCAGTCAATCAAAGACCTATGAAGAGTTTCATAAATTTATATATTATTCTTTCTAATTGCCATTTTCAGAGCATTGTTCTAAACTACAACCATGACTCCTCTGTTACAAGTACGATCGACTTACGATAGGGCGCAGTAAACAAATGGAGGAAATGGAAAAATACAGTAATTCTGGTCAATATCATCGGTTGTTCGGATAATATTGGATTGAAGATTGTAAAAGTAAAGCTAAGATTAAGAAATTCAATCTTTAGAGTCTGGTGGTATTCATGTTTATTTTGTAATTATTTAACCATCTTTAAGGCTGTTTGTATTACAGTAATCGGTCCCAAAATGTTATTCATGTCATTCAATGCACCCTCTCTGTAGAAATTCATCCGCAGCAACCATAACGTTTTTCTTGCGTAAAAATTAAACATAATACCGTTGTTTTGTAGTAGAATTAATTGAATATACAATTGATTTAATTTTATATTCAAGCTATTATTCATTGTGAACGTTTTAAAAGAAATTGGTTTACAGCTGCAGCCTGCTGCTATTTTCTATTGTGGATGCATCCACTGACACATTCGGTCGCGTAAGTCTGACTGATCACTAGATGACGATCGAGCTTCGCTCGATGCCATAAAAAATCAAAAAACAATTACAAATCCTAGTGACATGTGATTCGCAAGCAATTTACATATTAAGTGATTCACTGGAGTACTTTTACATAAATGATTGAGAGGGTTCCTTTTATACCTACCACAACCGTTAGCCATGTCTTCATCCTCACTGTTTGGACAATCGGCGTCCCCGTCACAAAGCCAGTCTTTTGATATACAGCGGTATGTGGAGGTACACAGAAACTCGTCCGCCTTACAGGTCCTGTTGTTGTCTATATCAATCATAAAAACAAACTTATATTTAACACATTATTTAGTAATACAGAATACTTATGATCCTTCCCTTTCTAATCTAAATGTCTTTCATTAAAACTAGAGTGATGAAAGTGTCTGTTCTGACTTTACGATGAATACATTTGTAAACTTAGATTTCTGGGATTACTTAATGGACATGACTATGTCTCTACAGAAAAAAATAATTCTAAAAATGTTCAATGTCCATTCTGATTCCTGACTGCCTGGTCTACTTACTACAGACATCACTGGACTCGTCTGTTCCATTGATACAATCTGGGTGACCATCACACTCCCACGATTTAGGTATACATGTCCCCTCAGAACATTTAGTCATACTGCTATCACATTCATCCTCTAAAAGTAGTGAAAAAATTAAATTAGATCCGTACAGAAAGCACTGCATTCTCATATATCTCTTCTGTGTACAGATGATACTAATATCATCAATGCATTTTAAGGCAAAAAAAGTATAATTAATTCTTAATGAAATTTTCAAATTTATCAATCAAACATTAAGTAGTTTCTGTAAAGATTTAGTTCTATTTTCAAGATACATGAAATTCAGTTTCATAGATTACTGATAGACAAATGTGAGTAGCATTTAATCACAAATTCCATACCACAGTTGACTTCATCTGATTTGTCTGGGCAATCATTGTCAAAGTCACATTTCCAGGCACTGGGAATACAGCGATCGCCAGACTTACAGTGGAACATGTCAGGGCCCTTACATTCCGCTTCTGTAAAAATAAAAACAAATGTCTGTGATACACAACTACATGCATCAATTGAAACAACCTGTTCTTTTTCATGATCCCTGCAGTCATATAAAACATGGGAACCATGGGTAAAATCACTTTGTGTCTGACGTCAGTGGGTGGGACTATGAAATTGACATGGTAGGTCTCATGTAATTTAAAGCTTTTAGACAACATTTTTTTAAAAGCAATACTTACAATTTTATTTCACCATGAAATGTAAATTTAAGGAATCACTGTCTAGTTATTAGAGTATGCCAGGGACATCAATGATAGTTGGAAACATACACAGGATAATTTATGCATAATGGGCTTCACCCATTATGCAAATTATCCCATGTTTCCAACTATCTTTGATGCCCTGGCATACCCAACAAACTAGACAGTGATTCCTTTTAAAATAAATCCTGTATTCCATACGCTTTATCAATAAAAATATTTATATTTCAAGCATATCAGACACAGACTAATTTACGTGTTTTTCTATTTTATTAACAAATGTCTAATTACTTGATCCAGAGCAGTTCTTTTCATCCTCTCCATCTGGACAGTCTTGTTTACTGTCACAGATCCAGGACTCCATGATACAGGTTGAGGTGGTGTTACATGAGACCCAGCGAGCAGCATCCTCATGATGAATTGCAGAGCAGTTCAAATCTTCAAAGAAATTTAACTGATTTAACAAATCTTGATGACTCAAAAATGTAATAAATTCAGCTGAATAACCCCAGTCTTTTCTTTAGGTTGATTTTTTTTAACTTTTCTACAGCAAGTACTTGCATTTTATTCAACACATAGTCAACTACAATACATTATTTCTTTAACTCGTAACCTTGTAATCAAAATTAGTTTTGAATCATCTATCAACTGACCACATCCGATTTCGTCCGAATTATCGTCACAGTCAATATCCATGTCACAGTGGTACTTTCTGTTGATGCACTGCTTGTTCCTACACTGGAACTCGGTATCTTTGTTACACTGACAGTCCATCTCATCCGAGCCGTCCAGACAGTCTAACTTCCTGTCGCACTGCTTCCCAAACGGAATACACTGGTAGTTGTTACAGGTGAAATACTGAGAGTGACAGTGCTCCTTATCTATACACAAACAACATGTGACATCTATTGACCATGCACGTATGTACAATTTAAAATGAATACCATTAATTATACAGTATTAAGTAAAAAATAGTACCAATATGAGTAAAACTTACTGCAAACAGCCGCGGATTCATCACTTTGGTCTAGACAGTCTGGAACTTTATCACAAGTTTGAGTGATATTGATGCATCTTGTTGCATCATGACACAGGAAGTCGGTAACTCTACAGTTGGTGATGGTCTCATTTTCTGTTAAAGTATTTGACAGGATAAGATGAAGAGGGGGCAATCAAAATGACTGAGCTTTAACAAACACCTTATGTAATGTAAAATCTTACTTGCACATCGAACTCCGTCATTAAGTAGAAAGTAAGAGTCATTACAGGAGCAGACAGCATATCCTTTCACCACCTTACACTTCTGAGAACATCCTGCATTCAAGCACGGATTCTGTGTACCTGTAGAATATTAATACAAACTTCATTAGGACCTTCTTCATAGCACAATTTCAATCTTGCACAAGCATTATCCGTTCATTAAAGAAAGAGGTCAAGAACTTAATATACTGCAGAATTGTCAGTATTCATGGAGTGAAATAATCAACCCTTACCTCAGAATGATATCACATCACCAAGTGACCCTTAACCAAATTTACATCAAAACACTGGTTCATTAAATCCTCTGGTTAGGATAGTTACCCATAAAAATGTCCCTCATAGAGAAAAAGAATTTTGACTGCCTCAGAACATCCCCCCCCAAATTTAAATGATTCCATGATATAGTCTCTGAGTATAAAAAATTTAAAACCCCTGACTTACAATCATTGGCATCCTTGGCAAATACAGTAATTCCCATTGGTTGTCTGTTGAGATTTTTGCTGAGGAAGGCGTAGTCATTGCTGTCGTACTTGTTAACTCGGACGACGGCGTGGAGTAACCAGTCCGTCCAGTAGAGGTGATCTCCATACAGGGCCAGACCAAAGGGATGCTGGGGGATCGAGGTCATCACCACCTGTATACACATTGTATTATGTCATACACAGGATCAGCGTTTTACAATGATCACATTAAATATATCTCAGTAAACATTTTTCTCACTTAACTGTCATGATTTTAATACTGGTTTGCAGCATAACTATAATAATCTTATATTTGGGTACATCTGAAAAGTGTGTAAAAAAAATGCTGGATGATTTCACTTACCACTCTGTGATTTCCGTCAAAGTCACATCTCTCGATCTTGTCCAGACGAGCATCTATCCAGTACAGCAGCTGTTCCTTATGATCTATGGCCAGTCCATTAGGTGTACTGATGTCTGATTTGATGATATACTGAGCACTATAACCACTGACGAGCATCTATCCAGTACAGCAGCTGTTCCTTGTGATCGATGGCCAGTCCATTAGGTGTACTGATGTCTGATTTGATGATGTACTGAGCACTATAGCCACTGAAGAAGGCCCTCTGAATACCAGGCTGACTGCTGTGCCAGTTTGTCCAAAACATGCGTCTACAAAACAGTGTCAAAGCTGTAAGATATTCATATCTTTTAAATAGAAATGTCAAGTTTCCTTGTTTTAACATGCAAAAGTGAGATTTAAAATCATAGATTGTGATGCTTATTTTCTATATATGTTCTACCCCCGCAAAATTGTTTCCACATAAGTTTCAGCTTTCCTGGCCCAGTGGTTCTTGAGAAGAAGATTTTTTAGTGACCCCACCTTATTTTTGTTTTATATATGCTTTGTGCCAAAAAATTGGCCCATTGGTTCTAGTGAAATCTTTTAAGGTAAGTCAGATGAGATGTCTTTAAAAGATCATTTTACTAGATTTCAGTATTTGAAATACAAGGTTTTAGTAATATTATGTACATGTTATTGAAGAAAAATGTTCCATTGAGAGCAGTTCTTACTGTGTACAGCTATCGACAACAATAGCTCTGGGATGGTCACTGGTTGATAACTGGATCAGTTTCTGTGAAGGCCCGCTGGCGTTCCCAGTTGCTGGATTTATCTTGATCCGATTAATGGAGGAATTGGTGTAGCTGGTCCAGTACAGGGTGTCATTTGATGAATCATATGCAAGTCCTTCCACAGAACCAATGGCTGTAGTGAGTGAAACAAGACTATCATAGTTGAACTGAAGATAATGTGGCTGTGTACTTATTTAATGAAGTGTTAACTACCATACTTACAAGGAATGACTGTAGTAATGTTTGAAAAAGATGATCCATTCATCCAGACTGACTGTATGTTAGACTGCTGAATATCACTGTAGAACACTCTACTGTGATCATAATCTGCCGTCAGAGCAATCACATTCCGGATCAGAGTTTTGTCCGAGATTTCTTCTGTTGGCTTGTTTTTATTTCCTGTCATATGTAAGCTCTGAATGGCCGTCACTTTAGAAAACAGTAGATAACTGTCATGGTCTGCAAAATGTATAGAAGAATGATATGAGAAACACACACAAAGCACAAACATGCATTAAGAATTTTTTTGGACTGAAATACAAAAAATCCATCAAACACAATGGACAATCCTGAAATTTCTTTTTTATTAGAATATTGAATTAATTTTTATTCAAAAGAATTTATGTAACACTATACTTTTTTGCTATGTCTAGTGATTTTTTTTTTTTCAAAATGCTACGTAATGGCATACCTATACATTTTTTCTTGTCTGTGTCCAATTTTCCATATGTACAAGCACAAGTTACCGTTTTCTTGCTATTAAACAAGCAGATTTCTTCACAGCCCCCATTTTTATCTGTACAAGAATTGTTGCCTGTAAAACGAGACCAAACAAACCACTATAATCAGATGTTAAAGAATGAGTGAGCCATCATTTTAAAATAATAACAAGTATATCTCTCCTCCTCAAATCTCTCCACAACCATGGATCATAAATTCAGCTTCTGACATTTTAATGATTTCCACTAGCTTAGTGAAACAAAAGGCCATGGTGTTTCCTTCAATATTTGCTGCGATCCTTCACCTACCTGCCTGTACCAGTCTGTCAAAGACCTTTATACTGTTGAGTGTATTTGGTAGCTTGGACTTGATGTGTGTGGGCAAGCCTGTGGACCCCTGCTTGGATAGACTCAGTATACTAGCCTCAGGACTCGACTGAGGTCTGTGGATGATAAAGTTACACCATTGGTTTTGTATGCAATTTGATTATCAAAAAGAAATTTTTCAATAGAAATATTCCAGCAAGCCCCCCCCAAAATTAGGCTAAGTGAGTTTTTTGTTACTAGTAAGTATAATATATATCCAAAACCTAATGAGGGCAGTCTACTTACACATCAATCCAGTACATTTTTGTCTTGAAAACTGTGAGTGAATAACAGTCCGCTGATTTAGTGACAGTAAACTTTTCCCTAGTCTCCAGATTTAACCTGACAATATGGCGATTTTGTCTCTCACACCAGTACAACATCTTCCTGTTGGTATGATCCAGAGAGAGTCCAGAAATGTTGGAGGTTGTCAGGTTCATTAAAACATGACGATCTGTTCCATCTAATGAGGCCTGCTCTATAGTCAGGCGAACACTGTCCACCCAAATCATAGTGCTACAAAATACACACGAAAATATAACACTTATTTTGTTTCTGGAAAACTGCAAAGAATCATTTTCTGGTTCTTCAGGGAAGTAAAAATTAATTAATTTATGTCCCAGCTTTCCCACACTTTAATTACAACATATCCCTTATTGCCTTATTGACTTGTAAAAAAAAATTATTACCAACTAAATTTTCATGAAATAAGAAAAGAACAAGAGTTCCAATTGGCAAAATCAATTTTCTACAGATTCTTTTGCTTACCCCTCTTTGGGATTTAATACAATGTTCTGAGGATTCTGTAAGTCGTTATGAATGACGACGTATCTCCTGTACTCATCATCAGAGCTGGCCTTCTGAAGCTGTACTAATTCTATCACTTTCCTCTGAGAATCAGTCCAGTACAAATGACCTATGCCCAAAAAAAATTGTAAAATATGAAACTTTTTAAAGTTTCTCATTTATACATAATCTGTCAAGTCTCAATTCTTTTCTTTTACATGAAGTTACCATCAGAATAAATATTAAAATTCCCGTCTATAAAGCTTATTTAAAATTCTATCTTTATTCTATACTCTTAATCACGTTCAAGACCTGATAGACATAAATGATTCAGATTTTAAAGATGATTAAATAATGAACTTTTCATGTGTTTAGATCAATCCATTGCCTCACCTGCAATCCAGTCGACAGCTATATCCGTAATTCTACCGATCTCATCCGAAATGATCACCTCGTATCCAGTCAGGTCACGCTTTATACGAGCAATCTGATAATTTGGTGACGTCTCCACCCAGTATATATAGTCTTGTGCTATTAAATATATTATACATAACATATTATTGTAATGTTTGATAAATCTTACCAACAATCTTGATAACAAAGAGTCAGTTTTTTTATTTAATTCCTCTTCTCACCTGCATGGAAGTCAATCGCGGTGGCCTTCTGGACCTGGGAGATAAAGGGCAGGGCCTCCGTGCTGTTCTGGGGGTCATATGTGATCCCCCTGATCTCAGACACAGCCGAGTATATAATGAGAGAATCAATTCCTACAAAACATTTAAAACATGTCAGCGTCAATCACGCCACCTAAATCCAATATTAAAAAAATGAATAGTACCGAGTTATTTCATATTGCTATTAAAACTTAAGGTAGAGTTGTCCCTTTTGTATAGACAGATATTGAAGATATTTTTGTTTAGATCATGCTTGTTACTTCACAGTGCATCTACACATTGCTCATGAAACATATATCACAATCAGAGGCATTGCTCAGTTTGTATTTGACAAGTGTTAAAAAAAATATCTCCCCAAAAAAATATTACCATACACTAAAAATAATTTGGCAAAAGGGAAAATTTTTAAAAATTTAAGTGTAGAACATTCAAAAAACAAACCACAGCAATGTCTCTCCCATACTTTCAACAGTTCAGAAGCAAGAATTAGTAACTAATTCAACATAAGACTTAATTACAAGGCATTTCCAGGATCTCATACAAATGTTGTTTAGACATTCCAGACAGCATTCAACATATAAAATCCTGACACAGATTGATTGGTATCAAAATGAAATCTTGCAATGAATTAACTCAAGAGCAAACGCTATAATCAGGTTTGAATAAGGTGTGGGCATTGCCCAATGACCACGAACATGCTATAAATAACCGACATGGACCTTCAAATCTATACGGAGAGTTGAGATGCCATTAAATAAGGTAAAATGACAGAAAGCAACAACTTTAAACACTACATACGTCGTAAATCTGAAAAGTCCAAATAAAGTTTATCAGTTACTAAAATAAAATAATCCACATTTACCAATTAATCATAAAAGATATTCAATCCATGTGTAAAAAGATTGGAACTATTTCTTTTTTTTTCTGGGAAACAGAAACAATATTAACAATCACAAATAAATAAGATGCATACCAGTATCAAAGTACACATCTAAAAATTCAATGTAAAGAAAATCTCCATAAAAAACACAGACAAATAACAGAATGTACATGTACTTGTGAGGACTTTCTTACCGACACAGTAAGTTTCATTTTTGCGTAGATACCCAGCAGTACACACACAGACACGTTTGTTTTTTCCTACTGGCAGACATAACTGAGAGCAATCACCATTGTTAGTCCTGCAGGCATTGGTATCTGTCAGAATAAAGATTACAGGAATATAATCCAAGATGGCTCAAACATGCGTCAAAAAACCTAGATCTTCTTAATGCTAATAGCATTAAGAATAAGATAGTTGGTTCTGAATTAAAGTCATCAAATTTCATGCATATTTTCAAGCTGCATATATTTCACGAAAAATAAAAACAAAATGGTACCAAAAAATAAGTCCTGGTTCTCGTTTGGAATGAGTCTAATATATCTATATAAAGAAGAACTTACCGTTGACTCTTTGTGACTTGTCGTACACGGCCATTGCTACGACATCATCAGTCTTATCCCGTAAAACAGAATAGCTGTAACCCTGCTCCCCCTTAGTCAGCTTTGCAATCTTGTGGTCATGTGCAACAAAGATACCTTTTTGACCATTTACTGCAAATGCCTTGATGTACTTAATATCTGACTGGTTACTGCTTGAGTTATTAATATTTTCACATTTTACAGTTAACACTTCACAGGCCATTATTGAATTGTTCCCTTCACTGAGGAAATAAATCCTGCCATCAGCTTCACTATATTTCAAATCTGAAAAAGAAAACCAGATTTATAGTCGATACATACAGGTAAACTTCGGTATCTCGACATCGGATATGTCGACAACCTGGGATATGTCGACGTCCGTCCGCGGTCCCGGCATTATTTACTATATAAATGATTTGCAAAAACTCTGATATGTCGACCTCGGTAATGTCGACTACCCCGCTTATCTCGACGTATTTCACAGTCCCAAGAGCAAAATTTACCTGGTATATGTCGACATCGGGGCAATTTTCTACTCTACTTAACCAAATTGTTTGTCAGCTGGTCGCTCGTCACGCACGGACGACTCCGTGTATCTCGACATCGTCAGAAATTCACACCTTTCACACCTATGTTTTGACTACATACTGCCCGTTTGTAGAGGAAACCCAAGCCCCCGTCTCTAATACGTTAATTGTTTAATGTATAGCTTGGGTAATATCATTGATAAATCTTCGATTCTGCGTAAATATAGAGCCGTTATTTATATCGAATTAAACATTTTATAAAAAACAGGAACTAAATAACAAGGAACAATATACACAATGAATTCAATTTAACTTATAAATTGGGGTAAAAATGAATTTAACAGGAATCAAATCTACGACACGCACGACTATTGCATCAGTCGTAATATGGATGCATATGTAACATCATGAAGTTTGTTAAATGCGCAATTCCAATTTAATTTTGGTTTGAAAATGAAATGAATATTAATTATGAATGATTATGAAATAAAAAAGAAGTGAAGTGTAAAAAAAATATACGCATTAATTTTTTTCCGTATGTCGGAAGTCGACTTTGTACCGTTCCGGTTTGGAGTTTATAGAGCGCATTTCGTTTCCTGTTCTGACAGAGCTAGTGGCACGCGGATCGAATGCTGGATGGAAAACGGTTTTTAGTAAAATGAGATAAAAAAAAAAGAAAGCATTTCATAAATAACATTTGTGAAAAACTTCTCAAATTTTCTAATAAATATAGAGGAATAGCTGAAACAAATAAGCTACAGTCTAATTGAAGACATGTAGGTACCTGTAGTTATACGTCTGTTCAGTTTTGCTATGCAGTAAAATTAAGGACATCGAGTCTCAACTCTGATATCTCGACACCTCGGATATCTCGACATTTTCCGACTGTCCCGTCGATGTCGAGATAACGAAGTTTACCTGTATATTCTATCATAAAGTGGCCATGCACATTCTCAGTGCATTAAGCAATGCACATAAATCCAACATTATGAATAACTATGAATTCACATAAAGCCATACTCTATTAGAACAAATAAGACCTGAATGAATATGTCAGAAGTGAAAGCATTACTTGAAGGTCCATTGGCATTTGTAATCTCTGCCTTTACATCACTCCCATCCATTTTAGCACCATAAATGTTATCCTCCTTATCGACAGAGAAATAGAGCTTTCTGGCATAAAAAATAAATTTAAAAGTCTTTCAGAACAAATCTTTGTGTTCAAATGCAATACAGTAGACATAATAAAGTAAAACTTTTTCATTAACTGCTCTCTATTTAAATCAAGATTAAATTCTACCAGCACAGAAGAAAGCAGTAATTGAACTGGATTTAATGCTTTACTGGACGAGTTCTTGTACGTGATGTCATACATACCCTGACATGGGGCTGACTGTGATAGAGCTGACTTTGGTGTTATTCTTCACAAAGATCTCCTTTCTGTAGGCCCCGTCCAGATTGGCCACTGTAATGGCCCCCCTCTTGTTTTTGTCATTATACGTCGAAAAGTACATATTTCTGGAAATCCAATCCACTACAAATCCCTCTAAACTCAATGCTCTTCCTAAGAAAAAAAAGTCCAGGATGACCATGCATAAGGATAACACTGCATTTCTTGTTTCATTTCTTACTTTTTTTATTTACCGGTAATAAGCTGAAAATGCATTTCATCATACCTGAGTCAATGATGGTTTTGACCTCTGACCCTGACAGTGGTGACTTATTGATGACCTTTAGTTCTTGGTCGGCCCAGTACAAATGTCCTTCCTTTTCGTCACTTACATCATAATCCACTGCAATAGGTCTGTTAACATATGGAGTGGTTAAGGTGGGAATGACGCTGTAATTGGCATTTTCCAGGTCAACACCGCGGATCTCATTTCTCCGTACGAACACCAGGAAACTCTGATCAGCTGAGAGAAAGAAAGACAAAATCATAAATCTGCGGAGTCAAAATTTTGAAATCAAAATATTTCTTGATAAAGTTAAGAATTCTACACCAAATGCATGTACCATGAACATGTACAGAAAAAAAATGACATTTATAGTAAAGTGATTTTCATTTCCATGTCTCAGAAATATATATTGTAAACTTATTTGATATAACAAATTATGCTTCTAACAAAGCAAAATCAAGCATTCTTGGTACTTCATGGTGTTTTACTACATCTGCATGCATTTGCTTAAGAATTATTTTTAAGTTTTATAAAAATTGTATGTTACAATTAATTTTTCCACAAAATGTAATGAACAATTTGCCAAACAAAATTAAAGACACTGAGAAATGCCTACGTTTGCATGTTTTTTTGTCGGCTGCCAGCTCCATGAGATGAGGACAGACACAGCCCACAGTGTTGTTGTAACTGATTAGACACAGATGGGAACAGTTTCCATTGTTAACTGCGCAGGGATTGGGCGATGACAGCTGACGTTTGGGATGGTAGACTTGGATATCAAAAGGCTGGGTATTGGTTCGTTTAACAATGGTCACATTAGAGCCATCAAACTTGTTTGCCTTAATAAAAGAATTGATTTTAAATGTAAAATAAATATATGATTTCATTTGATTTTTTTTACAAAACATAAAACAATTCCATAAGTATAATCATACAGAAATGAAAATATTTTACAATACATGACTACAATACATTGTCTTAAATTAAGTTATCTATAGTACGCTTCATTTACTATTTGTAAATACTGTAAATCTTACGGAGACGAGTGCATTGATGCCCCAATCTGTCCAGTAGACATGGTTACCAAACAGAGAGAGAGCGAATGGATGTCTGATATTGTCCCTGTCCTGGAGAATCTGACGATGATCTTGTCCCTCGTAGGTCACAGTGTGAATTGAGTCTGATCTACAATTAACAAGCAAAGATAATATCCTTCATTAAAGGACATTTTTTACATAAATCTTAACTTTTTTAGTAGAAAATGTATTACTAAATAAAAAACTGCAAGTCCTCATTCATAAAAAGTTAAGAAGATATATGAAGGAACCAATAAGAATTATACCTTGCGTCAATCCAGTAGAGTCTTCTAAAGTCATAATCTATGGTTAATCCATTGGGCCAACCTCCTTCTACAATCCGTCTAATGTGAAATATGATATGTCGGTTCTCTCCGGCCATAGAGCATGTCTCAATCCTAGGGTTGTTTGTATCCCAGTCTGTCCAAAACAGTGTTCTGAAAAAAAATATGATGATAGAATTCTCAGTACAATTGAGTCCTAAAATGATACGAATTTGTTTTTAAATCAGAAAATGAATCCAGGAATACCAAAAATCTTACCCGACCCTGGGGTCTAGCACAATGGCTCTAGGACTGACCATGTTACCAGCAATGAGCGTGGTGCGGTTCTCTCCATTAATGCCCGCCACTTCTATCTGGTAAAGCTTGCTCTCTACCCAGTAAATTTTCTCCCCAATCCAGTCTATAGCCAGACCCTCGGTGGTGGCCAGCCCAATGTCTACGATGGGGGTGATGTCAGTCAGGGCTGTCAAGGAAAAAACAAAATCAGGGTATTGACAGAGCTATTGATACAATGGGATCACAGTGTAGCTTCTGTGGACCATGTACTGTATAATAACAAATAAAATTTGTTGAAGTTTATTGATAAATTTCGCAAAAAGTCTTTAAAAGTGCCAATTTATTCCATATTTCATTTCAATTATCTAAACTTCACCAAACTAGGTAAAAAGCTTCTTGCATGCTCTTGCAAACCTTACACAAATAATTTATTTACAGTATCAAATATTTACCATTTCCCTGTAGTTTGCCTCTGAAGATTTTGTCATCTGCCACATCAGTCCAGAAAATATATTGCTGGGCATAATAGAAATCTAATGCCACTGTATTGTGTAGGCCTGATACGAGGGCAGCGTAATTGTGATTTGTCAGGTCCACACTCCGCATCTCATGGCGGTTAGAAAATATTATGTATACTGGCACATTATCTGAAATTCAACACAGATGTCATGATTAAAAAGAATGGCTGCTCTCTCATTAGTACAGAGAACATTATACTTGTTTCAGAAACTACAAAATAATTACTTTCCTCTCACAAAAGAAAAATTTGAGTTAAAAGAGAACATGATTTTATTAAAGAATTTCAAAATTAATTTATACAATTTTATTTTCATCAATAATACACTGACAAGATTAGGTTTCATCTTTACACCTGAATGTTCATTTACCAAGGGGTCTGCATGTGAAGCCATCAGCTTCCATGTGGTAGCCCTCATTACAAGAACACACATGCCCTCGCTGTAACTTCTCACACTTCTGTCCACATATCCCCCATGTTTGACAAATGTTGGATGCTGAAAATAGAAAATAATATTGTTTTCGCAAAAAGTCAAATATATATTAAAATATATAAATATCATAGTCTTTATATATAATTACCACACTTTTACGTATAAATATTACAGTCTACATATAAGTACAAGAGTTTTACATACGATTACAGGTCCTGTTGTCTGAGCCCAGTTCACGGCCCTCTTTACACAAACAGATATAGGGATGGGTCACAAGGTTAGGTGGTGCTGGCCGGCACACATCGGAACAACTGTGGTTCTTACAGCTCTCTGCCATTACAACATCAAATAATAAAATAAAATATACAGATTCATCCAAATAATAATGAACTCAAGTATTATACAGCTTCATCCAGGTAACAACATATTGCATAAAAAAATATATATACAGCTTTAGGACCAAGAAAATGATTTAGATATCCAATAATTCAAGAGACTGAGGAGAAGACACTTCAAAAACAAGTAGTTTGAACTTAGAATTCACATCCATGGTATTTAAGATATCAATGTTCAAGATACCCAAGTTCAATTGTAGTACATCATATAAAACTTTATTTAGAAAGTACATAATTATTCATACAATAAACAGAAAAATACACTTATAATAATGTGCCTGGGATGGATTATATTGCCTTATTATAAAAATAATTTATCGTATCTGTTGGGTTCGAAATATATTTTAAAGTCAAGGGTAATGAATATTACTTTGTAAGCTTCAATTTATTATGTGTTTGCGGTAAAAGTTTAATTTTTTCATTGTACAGCTATGCCTTCTAGTTTCTTTCTTTCAGAATTGAAAAAACGATATCTGAGGTAAACAACATCATGCAGTCAATAACGGTACAACAAAAAACTGTTTTATCCAAGTGACACTTGAATATGTGAACAGCATTATATAGAGACTTCAGCCCTAGTGTACCTGGTTTACACCCCTGCTCATCACGGCTATCTGGGCAGTCTGTTTTGTTATCACACATCTGGTTTGGGGTGATACACTTGGTGTTTCCATGGCTACCACAAGTCACATTGGGATAATTACAGGTGTGATAGGCTGAAAATACACAAATTCAATCATTGTTAATGACACACAGTCAAAAATGGAAATGCTAAGAACAACATCAGAAATATACTGAGACGTACTACAGTTGGCTTCATCAGACCGATCCTTGCAGTCATATTCCTTGTCACACTGCCAGCTCTTTAGTATACAGATCCCATCTGTCTCACACTTAAATTCATGCTCAGAACAATTCTTCTGATGCCCTATAATACAAATGGTATTATTTATATTAATGAAGGGCCTGGCTTTAAAAAAATCAATTTTTTTACTGTCATTTTTCTCAAATAATGAAAAAATGTAATTTTTATAATAAAATGAATGCAAAAGACATAATTCAAAATCATTCAACATGTTATAAATCAACATTTTACTCTGCAAATAAAATTGTATTAAAAAACTTGATAAAGAAGGTTTGAACAAAATACTGATCAAGTTTGAAAGTTTTCATAAAACATCTACAACTCTTCATTCCTGTAAAAATCTTAGGTAAGCATCTACTCAACAAGGCAGAGCTTGCTATACTTACAACAAACCAATTCATCGGATCCGTCCAAACAATCACTTTCCTGGTCACATTTCCACCTCTTGTTGATACACTCTCCACTGTCACACTTAAACTCACTGGGTGAACAAGTTTTCCCTGTACCTTTGGTATAAAGGACAAAAGATGTGGACTGTATATTGTTGTGACAAGTTTTTTTTTTTCTAAACAGGAGCCTCCAAATTATCAAGATTTTTAATAAACAATTGAATTTCCTTTCAAAAATAATACATTTATGAAAAATATCTTATTTTCTTGTAGCATGTTTTCTGCATGTTCAACTAATTAGTTAGTACTATTTAATGTTATTAGAAAAAAATTAAATTATGTTTTAAAGATGTTTGTAAAAACTGTTATGATATTTACAAATATTTGTGGTGGAAATTGAAAACCTATCCAGGCTAGTGCTAACAACAAACAAAAAATACACAGATTCAATGTATATCAATGTAAATACATATATATTTGTAATCATTTAAAGAAATAAAGATAATTACCACAGTTTTTTTCATCACTGCCATCCAGGCAGTCTGGTTTGCCATCACAAATACTGGAGTTGAACAGGCATTTAGTCTGGTTATCACACTGGAAGTGGTTATTTTTATCCTCACCACACAACACGTCGCAGCCAAGCTATAACATATAATATTTATGACATAAGTAATCACAATGTTACTATTTTTATCTCTAAATTCAGAAGAGTTCCTGAGTTTCTCACCTCGTCTGAGCCATCTTCACAATCCTCTACAGCATTACACTGGAACTCCCTTTCAATACATTCCCCACTACTAACACAAGTAAACTCTGTCATCTCTTCACAAGTTCTCTCCCCTGAAAAGATTCACAACAGATATATAAGGTATAATAATATAAATGCAAATGGATACAATGACCATGGATTCAGCCCGTTAAACCATGGTGCACATAAATTTAACCAAGGCGGGCCACCATGGTAAACTCCTTATGCAGAACCCTGTTAAGTCTTACTTTTTCAATGAGCAAAAAGAGTGTTCAAATACAGTGAAGATAGAAATGGTTGCTCTCAGTCTACCCCAGCCCCATCCTTACCTAGATGACAGAACAGTTCATCTGCCCCATCCTTACAGTCAGGCTCTCTATCACACCACCAGTTTGCCATCAAACATTCATTTAATGGACATCTTCTGTATCCCTCAGGACAGCTGGAGCCTGTATAAAGAAGCCAAATCTCTTAACAGCATATGACACTCCGGCCAATGAGCATCCGTTTGATGCATTTCAAATTTTATCGTTATTTTTTATAAAATTAAAAGTTGGTAATGTGGAGACCAATCCAGAAAAAAAGTTCCACCCACATTTTTCTCTAACTTTAGTACTTGTATATGGCTTCTGGTAGCCATTTTCAAAGAGACTTGGCTACCTTGTTAAAAATACATTCAAAGATAATGCCTATGGTGCTTGCATATTGATAAGCAATGGATAATGCAAACTTTTTGTAAGACATAAAAAGTATGAAAAGTAAATCTATTAACAAAGAATTTTTATCATTATTTTACAGAAAATTCAGGTATCAAAAATACCTCCTTCATCTACTTTATTGCCATTAAAATGATAATAAACAGTCTCCCTCCCTCATCTGTTTTGGAGAAAATTGGCATGAGAACCAGAGAATTAAACTTATGTAGCCTTACTAAGAAAAGGTTTTTTTTTTACTTTATCATCCATTCCTATACTGACATTCTTGTTTATCCACAATTGTATTGCTCATTTCAACACCTACATATTTCTCACTTTGAGTTCTTTTCATTCATTTGACATTTTGGTTACCAAAGTTTACATATACACTTACTTATCTGACATTCTTCCTTAGCAATACTCAGACATTCACCATTTGTACACCGACTGCATTCTGGAATTACTGTACCAAAAAAATTAAGAAAAATTCAAGAGTATGGTTATATTCTTAGTTCAGGCTTACAATAGTCCATATCTTAGTCATTAAGACTTTAAACTATCTTAGATATCAAGTTTAATAAATCAAATTCAATTCCTTCAACAATTTGAAAATCCTGACACCAATCGTCTGTTTTTAATGCTAAATATATGAAAAATTGATGTGTTATTAAGATTTTAATCCTGGTTTCAGTTCAACATTTTACACAGTACCAAAGAAATAATAGCAAGTGTAGTAGTTATATTCCTAAATTATTCCGAATTTTGTTCGTGAACCGACAGACCATATCAGCCTTCATATAAATTGTCCCAATATTATTAATATAAAAGATATATATACAATTCACAATTTTAAAAAACATTGAATACATTATGCCTATGCAAAATTTGGTTAGTATTGGTTGTATGTTTACAAAGTTATAAATATTCTCTATGACTTTTTAGGACAACCCTCGTAAATGTATTATATTTAGCATGTACAATATCTGGCGGAAATTGTTTTTAAAATAAGTTTATAGCAAAGATTTTATTCAGCGTATTAATTTATATTCTTATTTATGTATCCACGACATTTGGCAGTGTAAATGAATTAGCAGAAGTTTCTTTCCGCCAAAAGCGCTAAAAAGAAAACAGCCAAATGTCATACATTTACAGTATTACATTGAAGCTCTAGACTGACATGGTCGGCAAAGGTGACTAATTGAATGAATTGTTTATGTATACAGCAATACAAATCTTACTTGTACATTGCTTTGAATCATTGGCCAGTTGATACCCAGCTTCACACAGACACTTGGCAACCAGTCCCTCTTCAGAAGGTACATTCACACACAGATGTTTACATCCAAGACTGGCACACTGGGTAGTGTTGACATCCGGATTGACTAAAAAATTCAACATAATTAAAAAACATTATAACATATTAAATGTATCCTCAGTAGTTTTCCAAATTAAAATAAAAGTTAATTCAAGGAATTTTAATGTCCTTTGCTTAAGGGTAGAGGTATGATGTTTCAGTCAGAAATAAAATTTACCAAAAATATCAGAATCAGTTGAGGTCATGCTTATAATATGAGACAGTATTGGGGTGAATAGGTCAACCATTTTTATACCAAAGATGAGTTTGTGACCCTGACCTTTGACCTTGCAAGCTCAAAATGAATAGGGATACATTTCTTTTTTACATTAGAAAGAATCATTATCTTAAGTTTTTTGTTTTTTAAAAACTCTAAGAGAACTAACTCATCATCTTGAGAAAATTTTATGCAATATAAGACTTTGTGTTTTATTATTTCAAAATCAATAGGCGTATTCTGAAGTTATAAAAAATTATCATAAATTGCACCTTAAGTTTCATTTTAAATGCTATCTGACATCTGGAATTCTATTTCATTGCTATAAAGGAACTTGAGACATTGGACCTCTAACCTTTTTAATGTCATAATCAACAGAGTCTTAAGGATATAGGGTTTTATGACAATTCATTTGAAAACATTTGGTGTTGGGGAAAGCTGGATCACAATATTGTGTGATAGTGGGAAATCATCAGTAAAATTTCCAGTGAAATGGATAACCTGATGGGTATTTTACCAAAATAAAGCAGTACTTTAAATAGACCACTTCAGAACAATATAGTAGTAATCTAAAATATCTGTCAATTACACCTTATAAGCCTAATTTGTGTATCAGTTAATGATTCTCCAATGCTTATAGTTTTATTCAGAAAGTGTAAATGTACAAATGTACATGTCGATACAGTTTACTTAGGAATTTGTGATTTGTTAAAAGTTTACTAAATTTTTTTTACTGAGATATGTAAATATTCTGCCCTAAGCATGACTAATATTTTTTTTTATATTTCAATAGATGTACATGTTTTACACACTTCAGGCATATAAAGTTGCTGGAACTGATCCAAAAGGTTAATTGCCCTTAAAACATGTTAGATACAGCAAGCAGTGAATGACATGTCCTCTTAAATGTTCTCTATAAGAGGTCCCAGTGACATTTCCTTTTTCCTTACAAGAAACAGGCATGCTGTTGAATTTATTGACTTCTACATGTTAACATTAGACGACACTTGATTTCCATTAAATGTCGCATGATCAGTTCAAGTCCAGTTAGTGGCTTCTGTCACAGTTATAACCTTCCCTTAAATTGTCAAAAGGCTTGAAGACATTCATGACTGAAAAGGTGGTAACAAATTCAAAATAATGTTTCAATATAGAAATTTTTTGAAGAGCACTGGAGGTGATTGATACATACATTTCTACACTTGATAGTTAAGAGAAAAAACAGGACTCTGTGAAAATGTTAATTAGGGAAAACGATGAAACACACTTTTATCTCTTAGATCTCACAAATAATGCTTTGAGTAACAAGTTTTATTTATGAAAAATGAGCCATAAACAAGAACTGCTTGATCAGCTGATCCTACATACACAGGTAAGTAAATATACCTGGCCACTGTTCACCGCTTTACCTGTAGGGCTTATTTCAAAACCTTAACAAATACATGCTCTGGCAGTCAGCCAACCAAAAGAAAAGTACAATATTTACATTAAATGCTGTTGTACTTCAGTATAAATTAAGTCGAAACATTGACAAACCCTTCACTGATTACATATAAGACAATCCACATTATTTTTAAATTCTTGTTTTAAATGCTTTTGACACAATCCCTATGGATTGTGACTTATTGGCCTATTAATCTGTCTGGCAGCTGTCATTGACTAATTCAATGTTTACAAACTCACAAGGCATATGGCTCGTTGGTCTAGGGGTATGATTCTCGCTTCGGGTGCGAGAGGTCCCGGGTTCAAATCCCGGACGAGCCCAATCACATTTTAAATTTGCAATATATCTTCATTGATTTCATTGGTATCAATAATTATTGAATTCAATTTCCACTGAAATGAAATTCATTCTTTGTAGAATATAATATATGTACGTAAAAAAAAAAACTGTCATATTTGAAACTGCCAGACCTAAAATAATCCAAAATCCATAAGCTTAACGACTTGTTTTAAGGCCCTCATAAAAGAATTCTGATTCAATTTTCCAAAATATTAGGACTTGGCAAGATTTATAATAGAACATCTAATGTAATGATTCCTGTTTACATAAACTGATTTTTCTGTACATAATTTTGTTTCGGTTCTAATGACTGTGAAGCCTTGTTAGAATTAAAGCCTTACTGGGCTGTCTGAGCTGATGGTAAATCTGTAACTGGTAGGGATCATGCATCCTGATGTTGGTGTACTTGGTGGCATTGACCGACCGATCCCAGCGATGAATGCGAGTTAACTTCACGTCATCACCAGTCACATAAATAAACTCCCCAAGGATGGAAATGCCTCTCGATTTCCTAGCCTCTAACTAAAAATTAAACAATCATCAATCTAATTAACAGAATCAAATCTTGTCTACAATAATCATTTCTTCATAGTAAAATGAAGACTCGTTGATGAGGATGCCAATAATCTGTAAACGTCACCTTCTGGACTTTAGAAACAGAATTTACATAAATATCTACAAATTACAGAAGGCCCATTTCAGTGATTCAGTCACTTCACTTGGGAATGGATTAATGAGGTTTGACTGTATACAACTTAAATTCTTATGCCAAAATTTGTCTCTGTTTATGATAACCACTTTATTTACTGCAGCATTTTTAAATATTTTTCTTCGTTTACATTCTAATACAATACAGTAAAACATGTAATTAGTTATATCATTCTGTTAAGTTTACAATGTGCTGTAAAACCAAAGGAATTAAAAATCTAGAAATATAAAAATTCTTTTACTGTAGAAAGTTCTTAGACACATGAAATTAATTTTAAAGACTTCCACTTGCTACAGTTGAGACTCAGTTATCCAGATACCAATAGTCTGAATGTTTCACCTTCTTTATAAAATTTCGAGGGAGCAGAATTTTCATTGAAATCCATGAATTGTAACAGACAGGTTTTAGTAATCTAAACACTCCAATAACCTAGATGAATGGCTTGGGAAAGAAAATGTACAAATTAAAGGGGTTTGTCTGTATATCTTAGCAAAGAGAGTCTCCCACCCTTGTAACTGTGTATCTGTTGACTGTCTCTCGGTTGATGTCTATTCTCTCCACAGTGCCTTTAGCTGAATCCACCCAGTACAGTTGTTGGTTTGGGAAGTCAATGGTCATTCCGTATGGACTGATCAGTTCATCGATGCCCTCCACTAGAGCACTGCTGTTAGAACCATCAAGGTAGGCCTGGTGTATGCTCCAGCCACTAGTCTTAGATCTCAATGTATAGAACATCAAACTGGAGAAAAAAATTAAATCTGAATATCACCTGGAAATTTTTATCCAATTGGAACATCAACCAGGGAAAAAAATTCTAATCTGAACACATTTGTTTTGTTGTCCATGAAAAAGAGTTTTCTTTTCTCTTGGTGTTGGTAGTTTTTGGAGAATTCCATCATATAAAATAATATTGTCAGTATAGAAAAATTAGCATACAAAGAATTGGGCCAAAATCTGATTTCCACCAACAGAATAAGTTATTTGGACTAAGCGAAAAAATATAATACCACAAAATCACATATTATTACATTGTATGTGGTCAAATTTTCATAATTTGTGAAAAAAAATGGGTTTGTGGGGATTTAATTTCATGTATGAAGAATTCATGAGGAGTAATTTCTGTGAAAAATTGCATTTCACAGTGGACAAGAATTCATGGATCTCTTCATACCTTGAAAACCATGAAAATTAAACTTCCATGAAAATAAATGATTTCACAGTAAATCTACATTACCCTAAATTTGGTTCCAGCACAAGTGTTCGTGGAGTTTTTGCCCCAAATTTCATAATGGTTGCGCAATATGTCCCTTCTGAGGTGCATAAGATGATCCTATTATTGACAACATCAACAAAATACCAATTTCCAGTAATCCAGTCATGGGCAAAGTTTTCGATTGCTATAGAAAATAAAGTCACACATCACAAATGCAATACAGTGGACCTTCAGATACCCAGATGCTTCAGTATCTGGACGAATTTTCATCGGAACAAATTTTTTTAATGTTATTTTGTCTTGTTTTACTGGTAATTCAGATATCCGAACGCTTAACATATCCAGACAAATTGACTAGGAACCAAAGCGTACAGATAAATGAGGCTCCACTGTATATGGGTGTCCTTGAATACATATTATGTCTTTCAGAATCTAGTCAAAACTTTTAATGACCCTTGTCTGGATTCATTCTCATATAAGCAACATTAAGGGCATAATTAAAGTATGATTTTTGGTTTACTTATTTCTTTGTAAAATTATGTTAAATTGTAAAGGTTGTAATTGGTTTCAAAGTTATGTCTAAAAAATAATGCACTTCTCTTATTACTAACAAGGAAGATAAACACAATTAAATCCTTTAAAGGTAAGTTTTCCCTCCCCTTTTGACAAATCAGTTTGAAAGTATTAGGTGAAAATGTTCAAATGGTAAAATGAAAAGAAATTTTATGTATTATCTAGTAAATAAAAGATATCTATACAAAAGACACAATTTTTACAAAAAAGGAATAGTAAAGTTATATTGCTGTACTAAGCTTACTTTCTAATGTGACTTGTGTAAAAGCTTCTGTGATACTGAAAGTGGATTGGTTCATACACTGCATGGTTGATTTATCTTTAGGTGATGGTTCATACATTATCTTCAAAGAGAAAAAAACTCAATGAAATACACATATTCAAATACATGTATTCACATATTCATTTTTTTTCATTATTTGATATTTTTTAAAATCAGTGTTGGCTCATGAAACAGTTAATATTTGATACTTACCCAACATACAACTTTATTTCTGTGATCAAAGTCGACCGTCCTGATATAATGGGCCTCAGTGCTGCTGTGGCTTAGCTTTGGTGTATCGGATTTAAATTGTAATTGTAATAAAACCTCTGAAGCAGCTACCAACAGGGATTTCTTCTCAGACGAAGGTTCTGAAAATTAGGAAAAATATTAGTACGATCCTCTGAAAATCAATAAATTTTATTTAATGCTTTAAAAGGACAATTTTTTGAATACATGTAATTAAATTTTTTTTGAATTCTTAATTCAAAACCAACCATTAAATGGAATACAATGAGTTCCATCCCCCTTATAACCATTTGTACAGGAACATGAGAACTTCCGCAAGGAACTGTTGAAGGAACATTTTTGGTCACAGATGCCTTCATGGTATTCACATGGATTATAGTCTAAAACACACACAAAAAACTCAAATACAAGACACTGTGTCATAAATCAAATAATCAAATGTGCCTACAAGTCAACCTACTGTGATAAACAAAAAACAATTTTTAGTTTGACATGATTTATTCAAATATAAAATATTTTTCATGCTCATCACTTTGGCTTTGACTGACTGCTTATTGTTGAAGAGGCAATAGTTGACATATAACCTTGAAGCAATAATTCCGAATGTCCATTCAGTTGTCAGATACAGCAAATAATGACATTGTTAAATTCAGATCTAAAGGCATGATTTGTGACACAGAGTCTAAGGCATTTTTTGTGATTCAGCATCTGAGACATGATTTGTGATGAAGCATCCGAGGTATGATCTAAGATGCAGCATCGAAAGCATGATTTATGATGCACCATCCAATGCATGATTTGTGATGAAGCATTTGAGACCCGATTTATGATGTAGCAAAAGAGGCATGATTTTGGAAGGGAATCTCTTCTTGTATCATACACTATTACTTGAAAATATTTTGTATCTTTCAATAAATCATCCATGCAAGTTTGGGTTAGGTAAGGTCATTAGTTTCTTGGTAAATAGACCTGCTTCAAACTGGCCACTTTTCCACAGCATGACTGATACTATGCACCATTTTATGCACATCCATGCAAGTTTGGTCCAACCAGGGTTTGTGTACCAAATTGTTGTACTTTACTTTGGACACCAGAGCATTGCCAAGTAAAACTTGAGACATGCTTAGAAAATTTTCTTATCAAACAACTTCCAAATTGTATAACTATAATGTAAAACTGTCACTTACTGACACATTCATTTTGTTTTGACATCATAAATGAACTAGAATCGCAGTAACACTTGGGCCCATCTTTGGTCTGTGTGCACCTATATGTACAATTCAATTTATCACAGCTTGTTGAAAATGTCACTGAAAAAAAAAATTAAATGAGCATATTTCTCAACTGTTGACAAACTGCATTTATAATTCTGCAAAATTAATTTTCCTTTCTCTATACCCACCATTACAACTGGTCTCGTCCCCTCCGAGCTCACAGTCTTTATGTTTATCACAGAATTTGGATAGTGGAATGCACAGTTCCTCCCCTGGACACCTCTCGTAGTTTGGATTACACCTGAGGAACGGTGATAGAGGTTTGAAGGGGGCTGAAACATTAATACAAAAGCTTGAATGAAGTTTTGCACCTTTGCACTTTTTCTTTTTATCACATATTTACCCCTTTATCCTGCTGATACTCATTACATATTATTATTAATTTACCACAGTTGTGACATCACAATGATAGTGTGATGAAGTAAAAATCATATTTTAAAACAGTGTAAAACATGTGGTGAACAGAATTTCCCATAAGTTGTAGATGGATATAATTTTTAGCCAATGCAACTCATTAGATACTGTAAACCAACAATTATTTGTGACATCTAATGATCTTTCATTCACCATACTTCAGTTTAGAATCAATCTGCAACTACCAATGTCCTTGACTGAGGTAAATTGGTTTCAAATAATGATAGTAAGTTTTGAAAATCACAAATATTTTTAACTTGCAAATTAAAGTTGGTTTATAGTAAATTTATCCAAAGGCAACTCAGAGGATATAAATAAAAATTTTTAATCCTGAATTGTACATACTTTTAGTCCAGTATGTTTTGATTTCTTTTGCGATTTAATGCAAGATCTAGGTGAACAATTAATGAAAATAATTCATGCAGTAGTGATCAATGAATCAAAATTTTAAAAACTGTGATGAAAACAGTACTGAAACAAAATGTACTTTTGGTTAGCTTTTGTGGGATGCCTGTTTTGACCCTTCACCAGAACAGATTTACTTACTCCCTGATACTGAGCCTGCTATACGATTATCCAACTCAAGCCCTAGTTATATTTAACATTATAATCAAATTCTTATGACATTCTCATTCATATAAAACATTTTCAAAATAAATGTACACATAAGTTCACTGTAATTTCTCTTATTGCCTTTGAAATTGAAAAAAAAAAATAGAATGCATGGGACAATTAAAGAATGCAAAAGATGGTTTGAATTCTAGCCTGGGCCTGAAACTTAACCCTCTTACATGTTCCTTTTGTGATGTTACTTGAGGAGCTAAATGCTACAGATTACTACTTGATCTTTGTCTGTTGTACTGAATGTCTCTAACAATGGAGGTGCTATAATTACACCCGGTGAGGTAGATATAATACTGTACATACTATTGTCTGTGGATCTCCTCCTCCTTGAAGTAGTGACACCTGAAATAGACAAAATATATGTGTCATTTAAATTTAAATTGTCATCATGATTCAGGCTGTATTGTTTACAAGCATGTTATTGGATCCTTAAGTGAAAACACAAAACTGATAGGAAATACTTAGAGCCCTCCAAGTGTCAAAACAATAAGAACTTTTAGGCAAAAAATAAATGTCTAGTCTGTTGACCTAGAAATTGTTGCCTTTTTTCTATCCATGCTCACAGATTGCTTCCAACCAATTTTAAGTAGTTTTACACTGCATTGTACAGAGTTCTAAGAATTCTAAGAACATATTTTTTTTTTATGCATCCGGATCGATATATCTGAGGCATATATTGTTTTTGTCCTGTCTGTTTATCTGTTTGTCTGTCTGTTGTCAACTTTAACCTTTGCCATATCTTTTGAACCACGAGAGATAGAGACTTCATATTTGGTATGTACACTCCACTAATTAAGCTCTTTCAAATGACGTCAAGGTCAATGACCTTGTGACCTTGACTGTGACCTATATGCTAAAAAAAGATTTTTGGAACTTTCACATACATTTTGAACCATAGGAGATAGAGACCTCATATTTGGTATGCATTCTCCACTATTTACATGTAATTTCTTTCAAATGACACCAACGTCAATGACATTGTGACCTTGATTGTGACGTATATGCTAAAAATAGTTTTTTGGAACTTTGTTGCCGCCAGGCGCATAGTGTTTCACAAACACAGTTTGGATTACCACTATACTTACAACTTATATGTCAGATTTACATTGCTAAATGACTAATCTCCCAAATACTTACTTTTTCAGAGTTACCATCAAACTCACTATCTAAAATGAGTTACCACCATACTCAAATTCCCTGTCAGAGTTATCATAAATTACTACTCATTATCCATGTCATCTACAAGTAATCACAGCCTGTGTCAGAGTGATGACCCTTTGTTATAAGCCTGTTTTATACTCACATTCCGAGTCGGATTCATCTGATCCGTCATCACAGTCCTGTGCTCCATCACATTTCCAGCAGCTGTGGATTTCCTCTATCCCGTCATGACAGGTCCAGTAACCAGCATCATCTGGACACTCTACATCACCTGGCAAAATAATAAACCTTATTACTAAATATATAAAACATAGGTAATCAGAGATTACGGAGCTCACCTCAACGAATGTTGTCTTTAAGTAATTACCCAACAACAAGTGTACATCCAAAAATGCAAAATTTATCCAATTTTGATCTGATACTTTGGAAAAGACCTATATAAAAACTTCAAACTACACTGTTCTTCATCACGAAAATGTGATTAAAATCCAGCATCTGAAGCAAGTTTGAGAGTTCTCATCCCTTGATGCATCATTTGGGCAAGTTTGATTTATATGAGCCTTATAGTTTCTTGGTAATAGACCTGCACCCATAAATGTTACCTGGTCCATTATCTGGAAAATGTATGTCAAATTCAGCATCCGGAGCAAGTGCATAAGTGTGCATCCTAAGATGTATCATCCATGCGAGTTTGCACAACACAGGTCTGCTAGTTACTTAGAAATGAAACCTGCATAAAAATTTAACCTCTCACTCATCAAAAGAAAAATGTAGGTCAGATACAGCATCCAAAGCAAGTCTGGTAGTATGCATCCGAAGATATATCATCCATGCAAGTTTAGTCATTATTAGGCTCATTGTAACTTGGAAATGAAACCTGCACCAAAAACTTTAAGCATGTTCACTCATGCGGAAAATGTAGGTCAGATTCAGCATCCCGAGCAAGTTTGGTAGTATGCATCCTAAGATGTACCATCCATGCAACTTTGGTCATTATAGGGCTCATAGTATCTTGGAAATGAAACCTGCTCCAAAAACTTTAACCTGTTCACTCAACCAGAAAATGTAGGACAGATTCAGCATCCGAAGCAAGTGTGGTAGTATGCATCCTTAGATGTATCATCCATGCAAGTTTGGTCACTATAGGGCTTATAGTTACTTGGAAATGAGACCTGCACCAAAAACATAAACCTGTTCACTCATGCGGAAAATGTAGGTCAGATTCAGCATCAAAAGCAAGTCTGGTAGTAGGCATCCTTAGATGTATCATCCATGCAAGTTTGGTCACTATAGGGCTTATATATGGCACACCAAATTCACAAAAATGAGATAAACCTAGTTTCACAATTGATAAACTAGGTTTATCGACTGTAAACTATAGTTTACAAACCGTAAACTATAGTTAACGATTCGTTAAGTATAGTTTTCATCTGTAAAACTATATTTAATGGTCGTTAACTATAGTTTACGAACGCTAATCTAAGTTTATCTGTCTGAATAAAGCGTTAACAATAGATTTTGTTGATAAACATAGATTCATGTTTGTAAACTATAGTTTACAATCATAAACTATAGTTAAGAGTTGTTAATCATAGTTTCACAAATCGTGAAACTATATTTATCAGATTAATAACTATAGTTAACGGTTTGTAAACTATAGTTTACAAATCGTGAAACTGTATTTATCAGATAATCTATGTTTTGCAATCGCAAATGATTGTTTTCGATGTTAAGTATAGTTTACGGTTGTGAAACATAGATTTTCGCGTTAACTATGATTTACAGATATAAAATATAGATTAACGTTGTTAACTATAGTTTACAGTCCGTAAACTATAGTTTACAACCGATAAATCTAGTTTATCGACTGTGAAACTATGTTTTGCTCATTTTTGTGGATTTGGCGTGCCATACTTATAGTTACTTGGAAATGAGACCAGCACCAAAAACATTAACCTGTTCATTCATGCGGAAAATGTTGGTCAGATTCAGCATCCAAAGCAAGCCTGGTAGTGTGAATCCTAAGATGTACCATTAGTGCAAGTTTGGTCAACATAGGGCTTATAGTTACTCAGAAATGAGACCTACACCAAAAATGTTAACTTGCTCCAAAAACATTAACCTGGTCATTCCCTTGCTAAAATTGCAGCATCTGAAACTTTGACTGGTACAATGAAACACATTAGAAACATCTTCCATGCATGTCTAATCAATATAAGACATAGAAGTACTTAAAAAGAAAACTGCTCCAAAAAACTTAATCTTAACCCCGAATGCCGACGCCGAGGGTATTACATAAGCTCCCCTAACTTCGTTGAGGTGAGCTAATAATATAGAGATGTCTCCTAGGATTCCTAGCTGGACAAAATGTATCATTTATTTTTAAAAATATAATCTCTTCTCATCTTTAAGAAAAGAAATATTTACATGAGTAAGTTGCAAAATCTTGCATTGAATTCGAGGCTTCAGAAGCTGTTATATCAAGCACACTTCTTAACAAGCCAAGAATTTTGTGGTAATTTATGCTAACTATCCTAAATATCCATGTTAACTTTTCAGAGTAACTTAGTTGTCCTAGTGGTTTGACCAGTAAGTCAAAGGTTGCTCAGATGCTGGTTCAAATCCTGGTATGAACACTTGGCAGTATAATTAGACAGGACACTTTATTTGCATTGTTTTAGTGCACCAGGCTGAATTGGGTACTGACTAAATTATGCTAAACCACCTGTAATGGACCAGTACCTGCATCCAGGGGCAGAAACTCTCATCTGCTTTGTACCACAGAAATCAGGTCTTAACTCTAGAATTTGAGCCTGCATGGCTAGGATTTTAAACAAGAGACACTGGTTGTTAACCAGTAGTATATTAAGATCAGTACATGCCCCTTTTCTTACCAATTCTTTAAAAAATATTGATTTCTCATCCAAAGGTCTAATATATTGAATTGATGTCTGGCAACTCTCTTTTTATTTAATCTATATTGTCAACTAATTATGGATTTAAATTGTAATTTCCTGAGCAGCACCTGTTGATAACGCAAATCACACAAAACTATATTGATATTAATCAATATATTTCCAACTACCCAGACAAATTAACCATTCATTATCGAGAAATTTTACAACACTATAGAGAAAAAGATTATGGTATAATGATATAAAGAATGCAATGTAAAGAGTTATTTAATACCCAAATTATTGGCTTTAAGAGTAATGATTGGTATTGGTTCACAAAAGTACACATTAATGCTTGTTTATTTTCCCTGACCTAAAATAAATTCAGAGAAAGTTAGAATGTCTTCTGAATCAGACATGCCCCACAATGACCTGGTGTATTGCATAACATTTGATATGGACAGCAGGTTTAAGAAAGTTGTCATGTCTAATCTGCCAGCTCTATACTGATCACAACCAAACCCACCATTACTTGATAATGTGACTCTTGTTACAATCAGTTCACATTCCCCTCAAAGGCAACAAAAATATATCACTCGTATCATAATTACCAAGGTGCACCTGAAATATTTGGAGATTAATCCAGTATTTTTAATGTTACAATGTTTGAATAAAGAATTTTTCAGTGGGTTATTTAGTTATTCTATCCAGCGATTAAGGGGGGACCTATGTCCGAAAAGTCTTTGTGTGAAATTTTCAAAACTTTGACATTTCTTTCCTGACCGCTTGCTTTTAATTTTTAGGTATTAAAACTAATACCTTTATATGCTTATTTTTACACAGGAGCACGTGCAAAAACAGCGTAAAATGCTAAAAATAGATTATTTTGAGGCATTATTGTTTTACCCCAAATATGCTCGAAAATGAACCAAAAATGTCAAATCACATTCAAAATCAACAGGTATTTCATTTATATGACTTGTTTCTTTAAAATTAAAGCAAATTTATTGTAATTAATCTCGCATGAAAAATTATAATGGAGCACAATGTAAGTGTCACCCCGTTTTTCTTGTCGTATTTTTTACAATTCCGACATGCATAACAGGTAATATCTTAAAAAGTCTTTGTGTGAAAATGTTGTAATTCATATTATTTGAAAGAAATGATTCATCTCTTTCTTTTAACAAAGAAAAAACTATACCTTTATGATAAAATAAACGAGAAATATGACGTTTTCTTTGATTTTCCTACGCTTGTGTCATAAATATTGACCTTTCTGCACTACAAAAAAGGTACGTAAACACTGACAAACATCCGAAAATAAAACTATTTTGCGAAAAACGAGTATTTTGTTTTCATTAGAAACAATTTAACCAGATTAATTCTTTTCTTCTTCATTCCAATCATTCTTTTTCTCTCCCCCCCCCCCCCCATTTCCCCGTCAACAACCAACACCTTTTAGAACCTAGGAATGACTTTATCGCAATAAAATCTACATGTACTATAAATGAATTATTAAGCAAATATAGGTACATGTACATTCTTATTTTTTTTTTTAGTTTGATCCAGAAAATACAATTAATGATAAACATAAAATTAAACATATTTTCCTGATTTAAGCCGCTTTTTTTGCGGAATTTCATCTTATCTTTTTGCACTTATATATCAGCATATCATCAAGGTATTTATTCACAACTGAAATTGCGATTAATTATCAACCAAAGAATGAAAATTCTAATATTAATAAACTCCATAAATCAAAACTGTTATTACTAACAAATAAATTTTCTTTTTGTAAATTGGGTACGTTATTGATTGTTAACAATGTTATGCCTATATCACAGTTGCAAAAGTCAACAGGTAAAAACAAACGTCGCTATTGTGACGTCACATAACGCTGCTTTGACGTAGAACGACATAGGTCCCCCCTTAAAACAGAAAAATACAGGTATTTGTAGTTTTTTTTCAAACTCTTTCTAAAAATATAAGCTTAGAATGCCAGACTTCATGGGTTTAGATAAAGGACCAAACTAAGCAGAACTAATAAATTCCTTGACATTTTTTGGGTTTAGTCATCAGTGCAAGGACACATTTTCAAGATTGCTTTGTTTCTTTCAATACCATCTTAGTAATGAGTTGTGTCAGGAACAATTGATAGTCTCTGTACAAACTTTCTTTCCTCCCTACAATCAAAATTTACTCCTTTTGGGAGACAATGCCACAATGCTTCAGGGTTTTAATGACTCCAGCAAATAGAATTTTCAGTTCAACAGAAAATAATAGCCTCTTTGATGATTTACAATCCCAGATATTCAAAAGATTCCAATGCAAAATAAATGCAAAGAAAAATGGAAAGTGGTATTAATTAACTTAAAAC